GAAATCAATTCCAATTCCAATTCCAATTCAAAATAAGAATTAAGTTCAGTAAACCAGTTGGACTTTTTTTTTCTTCCAGCGAGGAACCAGCGGGCGGGAGGAACTAGACAAGTCTAGGATCCGTAATTTACCCCTGTAGTTAAAAGTACTACGGAGTATAAACTAGACCCTGAGTGTTGCTGAGTATGACCACTGGTGTGTGAAATGTCAAACATTCAGGGGTGCATGCTTTTTCATTTGAGGCGTGGATTCCTGGATATACGGGGGAGTAAGTGTAGTAGTGTACTGCGTAAGGTGGAGAATAGGAGGAAGGAATGAACCATGCCACACTGTGGTCCATATATGATGGGATGATTTGTTATTAGAAAGAAGAAAATGACAATTACCGAAGTATCGGGTTGTAACTTATATTTGGCAATGAGGAGAGACTTGGTGGAGTGGGTGGAGTAGATGGGTGGAGTGATATAAAAATTGTGCTGTGAAATGGTAATAGTAATCAGAGAGCTATAGTGTCGTCGATATTGCAGTCGTTGTTGTTACTCCAGTATATTCGTAATGCAATCCTCTACTACTCCCCTTATCTACTTTTAATAAACGACGATCCGACGTCCGGATCCGGAATACTTTCGAAGCTACCTTGAGTATGTGTAAAGAATCTAATGATACCTAGATATACATACATACATACATACACACGCACGCGCACACACACACACATACATGCATACATACAGTTGATGTATGACTATATGATTACTCTATGTGCGTCAAAAGGCCCCCCCCAGTCACCAGAGCTGAAGCTGATAATTGATTAAGAGGATTCTGGGGAAGGCTTAGCACTGTTTTAGGCAATACAGAGCGGATAACGTACTAAGTACGCAGACGCCTCTCTACAAGGTAACAACCCCATGGCAAACTCTTTTTTAAGTAATCTAATAAAGTAACGTCTTTGGTAAGAGAGAGTACAACAAATATTGATTGATCAGATTTGATTCTCGACAACTGGTTACACTTAAGCGAAAACATTCATTCGACAGTCTGGTCAAACCACAAAACCATACAGATACCCGTTGAGGCTTTTGTATCAACTTGAGGTGACAACGGACGAGGATATCAGATAAATTCGGAAATAAAGTACTCTGTATTGATACTCCACTGAGTTTAATGATCTAACGAGTATCCATAGATTCTACTGTAACCACCTGTTGAATGAAGACAGACTATCGCCAGTCACTTTGATATCCCAGTAATCCATCCCCATCCATACACCTTGAAGATCGTCGGAATAAATCTTGCGGAATTCTTACGTGATCTGGACTGCTCCGTTAGAGTCTTTCAAACAAGAGTGCTAAATCCGGTTACCGGTGTCTTACTTATTCCTCAAGAAGGAAATACATTCGACTCCTTTTCAAACATACTTCCGGGTTAGGGACGAATCCAAACAGAAGTTATCTGATATGTTCGAACTACCGGTGTTAACACAAATGGTTCCTGTCCATCCTCGGCAATCATAGGAACGATCTTCAATAATCTATTCGAGGAGAATTCTAAGTTCTAACAACCGTCATAGGATTTGTTGGCGACGATTAAAGCTTCTACTTACTCGGGTCATTCCTTGTACCAATTAACCATCGTCACGATATCAAACACTGTTAGATCGGATATAGTGTCTCAACAAGTCAACATACATACCTACTTGTTGGCAACCATGTCTATATTACTGGTAGTATTCATGGGGGCTTTCTGAGGCTGCAACATTCTGTTTCAAGAAAGATCAGCTCAATGAAGAGCGAGAACTGAAGAGTGAGGTTGTGCAAGAATGATTTAGCTTGCGAAAGACCTCCACGATGTTGCAGTAGCTTGCTTATAGCTCTTTAAATGATAAAAAGACATTTGCACCTGCATGTTTATTCCATGCACCAATGTACTCCACCTTTCCTTATCAGTGCAGCATCTTGGATTGACTTTGCGCTCGCCCGTACCAACACATTCAATAATGAAACATTTCTTAACGAAGACCTCTAGTAGTTCATGTTTCTTTTATATTCCCCTCTCTATCGGACCACTTGCTAACCCTTCCTTTAACGTTCTTCGCGGAAAATTTTCTCAATTTGCTTTTTGGGATGTATGCAAGTCAGCAGCCGCAAGAAGCAAATTGTATGGGGGACCATGGCAATCTAGCAGGGAAAGAATCTCTTAGCGACATGCCAGCAGAAGAAGCACTAATAAGGCGCAAAAAGAAAGGAAAGAAAAATGGATTTTAAACTAGACTAAGAACGATGTACCTACAACTTACATGGACTTCCATTTATATCTTTGCGCCGTATGCTTGCATCGATGACAGTAGCACAATCCCAAATGGAGTCATCGTGGCCATCTTCTAGAAGGCTTTCGGTCGACAGTCTTCATTTAGCTATATACAATACTCTAGATGTACCAAAAGTCACATCACATACACAGGGTCCTAAAGCACATCACAAATTCTGCGCAAAGTCAATACCGTCCAATGACAATTCCTATAGTAAATCTAAGTTTGTGCCTGTTAATATATTCGTACCTGCAAACATATATATCACATATTTGCATGCCTTCCTACATCCTATTCACAGTACTCATCTCGGTCTTATATCTTTTGGGAGTACATATCCCGTGTCTGCAATGGGCGTCAGGCTAATCTCGGGGCACAGTAACCCATCGATTACACATGCACACCCATTCCTGCCTTTCCTACCCTACACCCTACACTCCTTGCCTGGCAATTCTACGGCTTGCTGAAGAAATATCGAGTTGCACAAATCTCACTCGCAAGGCAGATACATATTCACTCCTTTATGGACTCGCCGATCATGACTACAGCGTCTAGATTTAATTTCATTCATTCAACACTTCGAAAGATACTCGCTTGAGTTGATATTGATAGATTCGCGAGGTTTTAGAGGAAGCCAAACCCCCCCCCCCCCCCCCCCATTCCATTTATAGATACAACCTTGAAATGACTAGAGATTCATTCAGCTTGCGCAACATCACCTAATAATTAAGTTTATTCTTATTGTCCTTGGTATTCTTGTCGATTCGTCCATGTCACGGACATCGCCCATGACTCTATCAATCGCAATCGATAAGGTCGGTGCACGAGGCATTTCCCCAGATACATAGATGCTCAGGTCCCTTTAACTCCAGGATCAGACCTAACGCAAAAAACCATTCCATATACCCCGCTACAAAAATACTGGTGCCGAAACGCTCCCAACTCTCCAATAACCACTAGGTCAATCATCAAAGCACAGCTCTCCTCAACATCTCACTCCGTTCCGGATCATCCATCGTTAGTGCCTTGTACTCCATCTGTGCTTGCATATAACAACCATCTTTCGTTCCTTCCATGTATGCTAAGTGCCAATAAACTTCGTACTTAAGTTCGTCCTCCTCTAGCATCATCTGATCGTTGAAATCTCGGACGATTTCTTCAATCTTTTTATCTTCGTTGGCTGTATCAGTTCCGAGCCTCATATTGGTCAATGTGTCCAACACTTCGTTGAAATCATCGACGACGAGACTGTTGTCTCCAGCCGAGTATACTCCACAATCTTCAAATGATTGGGACAAGGCATTAATTCGGCCATCGTGAACCTAATAGATGTCAGTGACTAATCAACAAATTCAGCCTCATCCAAACCCACAACTATTGTGAACACGGAATGGGAATCTACAACCACAAACTTACACCACGAATATAAGCCTCCTCCACAGTACCGATCGGAAACTCCACCGATTCCATCTCGATCAATCGATCACAGTATGAAGCCCGAATCGCCAGTTCTCGCTGAGCCAAACAATCTACACACCATCTAGGAGTCAGTAAGAAAAGAGTGAATGGATCCAGTTCTCCATCTTGATAGCACGGAACTAATTGTTTGTCTCGAATATCCATTCCATCATCGCGATAGCAGTGACTGCATGCGCCATGGAGATATTGCATGGGGTTTTGAAAATGAGGCGAGGTAGGAACTTGAGTATGAACCTCTGATTGTCCGGCGTGGGGCGAAATTTCCAAGTCCATCTCCATCTTGTGGACCTGTGCGGTAGTTTTGTTCGTTTTGTTCGTTTATTGATTTGTTTGCTTGATTTATTTCTGGGGTGTTGTGTGTACAAGTGTAGAATGATACTCTTGCGCAAGCAGATATCGGAAGATTATTTGAGTGGTCGTGGTTTTTTTGTAAGAGGATTCAAGATCATTCGGTAATTGGGAGATGGCTATGTTTATATATGTTCATAAGCGAGCGTACCCAACGACGATGGTGAATCATAACGAAATTTTGGTCAGTGGCCTGTTTTAACTCGAGCGCGATTGCCTAATTTGACGCTAGACACGTGGCCATACTCCATTTTCAAGTATCTTCAGATGAAATCAGTTCAAGGGTTGAAACCCTTCCATTATATGTTTCAAGGAACGGCGAGTGAAGCGTATATATATTTTTGCATGACGTAATAAATTGTTTTTTGTCTTCATTTACTGTTTGGACGGATGGATAGCTCTAGAGGAGAGAAGATATAGCCTCACAATAGAACTTCTCTGAATGATTTGAAGTCTCAACTCAGACAACCGGGTGTTAGTAATGGAAGTTGTCACTGTCATTCTTAGCTTTATACAGGTGAATACGAAGGGTACGGTTACTTTGTCCCAAATTGAGGATTTGCATTTCACCTATCAAAGCACTTTGAAAGGACAGAAGAATCTAGGAAAACAAGAAGACACTTCAAACTTCCGACATTGTCTTAGCTACTTTAATTCGTACCTCCATGGCAAAGTGATCTCATTCATTGAAAGTGAAGATTTTGTCTACGTAGATATGCTAACTTCCATCGTCACTTATACTACGGCGCGTACGTAGATGCCATCTTATATTACGAAAGTTGCATCATCGCTATACTGCTCTATCTCGCATTCCATCAGCACCCATCAAAGTCTCGTAAAATCACACAGCCCCTCTATCTCATCCTCAACACTCTCCCAAGATCTTCTTCACCGCCTCCCAAACATCCCGATGTACCTCCTCAACATTCCTACTCGCATCAATCTCAGCCAGCAACCCTCGCTCCCTATAATGCTCAATAACAGGTCCAGTAGCACAAGCATGCTGTCGAAATCGCTTATGCATAGTTTCAACCCCATCATCAATCCGGCTTGAAGATTTAGCTCGAGACAAAAGTCTCTCTTGCAGAATTTGCAGCGGACAATGTAGAGAGAATACGAGAGATGGCGCACAGATTGTGGATTCGAAGAGTGCGACGGGATCCATACTGCGAGGGAATCCTATGTTCTTATTAGTATTTGAGTAATCACACTCAGTACTTGATAAAAGTGACTTGCCATCGATCAAAAATACCATTTCTTTTCCTGGCTCGATATCCTCACTTCTTTGTGAAATCGCTTCCTGTAACATAGAAACAGACATCTCGGGTGGACCTGTTCGGCCTTCGGCCATATTGGCTCGGATGATGGATGCCCATTGACTAGATGGTTTCTGCAGCTCCGAGCGGAGGATATCACCAATGCTGATGTGGTGGATGTGGCGATGAGGATTCGATAGCTGGGCGAGGAGCATACATTGGGTTCCTTTCCCGACACCAGGGGGTCCGAGGACGAAGATGAATTTTGGGGGTGAGATCATTTTGATGCTGGGGAATGTGAGCGCTAGGAAGAGGGCAAGAGTAGGTAAGGTTGGTTTTGAGGTGAGATCTTCCGATCTTCTAAGAGGCAGTGTTCTTTTTCGTGTGAGGATCAGGATATTGCTGAAGTTTTCTCGTTAAGTTTGTAGAGAGTTGTGCTGCAATGAAGCCGTTTCTAGTATATATACCAGGAAAGGATTCGCTGTTGCGTGCCGAACTCGGCGAGTATAATCACATTCGCGGTCAAGATATATACCATTCAGTGCCGGTATAGTTCGAATTTACTGTCCAGCGGGATTAAACAAGAAAATCTTGGATGTGAAGTTGAAAGTGAATCATAAGACGAATCAAAATCATTCTACTTATGCCATTCAGAAGTTCCAAACCCATCGCTCCATCAGATCGCTCGTAAGCGAAAGGATGAATAGAAAGAATCCTTTCCCTTCACAAAATTCACAAAAATCGAGTTCAGTCACTTTAAAGAAGATCACAAAACATGAGAACCAATTCATCGAGCTACACATATAGAAGTGAAAGCAGAAACCATGCCGGCCACCGATAGGGCCACCAGTGGGTGTACAGACTAACGGGTCACTGTAAAAATAGACTTACAAACATCTCTTCATATTTCAACTTATATATCTTAGAAATTGTTGTAATCATTCGTTAGAAATGGAACAATCAAAATATAAATCTTGATATCAAACAATTGAAAAATAAATTTGTTAAAATTTTCGAAAATTGAGAAGTGTCCCATTAATCCACGTACCCATTAGTAGGCTGGGGAGAGAGACACTCGATGGGGTTATTAGAGGATTCGGTGTGAGGCTCACAGCCGCTAAGTCACGAGACTCCGGTACATATTACGGCTCTTGCGGTTGCGAGTTTGTCGAGGAAGAGATGGGACTGTTTGAGGTTACGAGGGAGACTGTGTGTAGACTCTAGGGATGGGATTTGGGTGTTGGCATTTGTGTTGCATTTTGACTAACAATTGTGGTCTGACTGGTCTGCGGATATAAAAGGGCATGAGGTAAGTATCCAGTATGTTTTGAGTGATTTGTTGTATGCATTTCTGTTTTGAGATGGTTGGTATCAATGGGTATCTTTTGAACAAAGGATATTAAGATTCATTAACGTCATTGTAATTTTTATTGCTTTGTTCTGAACAGAATACAGGGGCCATGCATACTTTTAAAGGTTCGTTTATTTTCCATTCACGGGGTAATTACATGTTCATGATCATGGTAGAAATATAGGCTTCAAGGCTTTGTATAAGTTTGTGTGAATATATTAATTAAGTGTTTAGTTTCCAGTACCGTTTAAGACTATTCTCCTTGAGTCGTAGGCCGTTAAATCGTATGGTACATTCCCGTTGTTGGACTGACTAGAAAAATTGCAAAAACGAAGGTTGGGGCTGGAAGCAATGAAGTGATATCACAGGACGTTTAAGTCAAACAAGAGCACTCACCTGGTCCAGATGGACCAGATTACAACTCCAAAGAAGGAGAAGCCAGGACGAGGAGGAACACGATCCAGCGCGTACCAGCCGCATGAATTTCCCTACGCTTCTCGCCACTTATCCACCTAGATATGTATTAGCTGCCCGATCAATCCTCATCGTTTGATCCTTCATATCGTGCTTTTAGCTTCCTCTTCATTTCTTCGTGTCGTTCTCTCTCCCGCTCCACGAGCTGTTCATGGAGTTGATCCAACACTTGTTCTTTCTGTCTCTCTACCAGTCTGTCAGCCTGAGATAGTCTCTTTCTCCTCCCTTGATTGATTCGCGCAGCCTCCCTTTGCTTCTCATCAAGATCGTCGACTGCCTGATTCAATTCGTCAGCTTTGGTTTTTGGGACCTCCTTCAATGATCCTTGTAACATACTTGCTGCTATACCATCTCTCGTGAACGGCCGTCGTATTCCATCTATCCCCACGTGCGTTAGTGTAGATGTACTTCCGAGATCTTCTTTAATTCTACAAGAGTTACACATGCGATCGAGGTGCTCGACTCCTTCTGGCTCCAAGGTGATGAAGCAGCCGGCCTTCATATTTTCACTGGTTGCCCATGGGCAGGGTCGAGAAATCTTGCGTGGGCCCCAGTGATTGCAGGAGAAGACTACGCTGGTACTTTGGCACATGCTTAGTGAGTTGAAAGTGTGATTGGAGGATGCAATTGGCAGGGGATAACAGGGGAACAACATTATGGTACAAATCATATATATAATATTCTCTAAAAACTTGTTGCATTGTTCAATACTCGAACTGGCTTGGTGTCTCTAGTTGTTCAGTGACTATGCTACCGCGTGTATCAATATACAATGGGCAAGATGAAATGGTCTCCAATAGCTATCAAGTCATGTCAAGACTTGAGTATGATCCATTGTCTCCAATTGCCAACTAGGTCAATAAATCACCTGGTGGATACCCAAGAACAACGGATAAAGGAAAAGAAGAATGATCTCAAGTAAGATCGATTCTTATTGTACAGGAGGTTAGAGATCCAGCGAAAGCTGTTTCGCTCAACAAATTCAACACAACAAGTAGAAATATTTCTTTGTGTGTGAAAGAACAGAAGAACAATCCTTTGGTTTATTGTTGAACTTCGGTATTATTTATAGATTTCATGACTGAACTCATGGTTTTAAGCTGGGTCTGTTTGCTAGTGTAAATTCCGTACATGCTTGTCTGAGGCATGTAAGTGAGGTGATCCAGATGAGATCAAAGGCATAAGCCTACTCAATGATTGAGGCGTGCCTGAGAATGAGTCTGTTCGCGCCACGAATTAGTAAATTGAATAATTCGAGCATAGTGGCAGATGAAAGGATGTATTATGCGAATTATCAGACAATGTTGAGAAGATTTTTTAATGCGGTTTTTGTAGTCATTGCATGTTCAAAGCCAACAGGAATTGGCCCATTGGAAGAATGTGCTTTTATGGCCCCGCGGTGTCATCACGAAACAGGGGACGAATCAATAAACAAATTACTTGTCGCACATACCTTTATTAGCGGAGACCATCTAATCTCCAGTCTAAGGTAGCATTGTCAAGCTTCTCGGGCTTGATCATCTCTCAGGTCTGAACCTTCCTCTTTTCTCCCTCATACCTTCCACCCTCTTCCTATCCTCCTCGAATCTCTTGACCAGCTCTCCAACCTCCTTCTTTCTCTTCTCTCGTCCCTGCCACCTATAAAATCCTGCGTCCTCCAACTCCTTTCTTCTCTTCTCCTCCTTCTCGGCCATCTCTCTTCTCTTTTCTTCCGCCGCCTCATTTCTTGCTGGGCCTGTCCTTCCACCCCTCACTACTGTCACAAATCCATCTTCATCTGGTACATTCCTTAATCTCTTCCTTTCCCTTTCTCTCTCCTCTTCCTTGCTATTAAATTTCGTCATGAAAGCGTCTACACTCCTCTGTACCGCCAATTTGTCAGGGAATCGTAACTCCTGCCTCATTGCATAACGTGCGCTACCCAAAGCGGGCACTTTGTCTTCAGCACCTCCACCCCAAACAGGGTATTTTGATTCCTTTCCTGATTTGCAAGTTTTTCGTGCAGCTTTTAGAACGGATTCTACGCTTTTCTCATCTACCAATAATACTACAGCTGTCCTTCCCTTGATGCGCAATTGCCTATCCCATCCTTGTGGTAAACTCGTATCAATTTCGACTTCGCTTCCTCTTTTCCTTTTCTTGCTCTGCGAGGTATTCTCGATTTGTTTTTGTGCGACAACCTCTTCCTTTTCCCCATCGAATCGTACATCTTCAACTCGGCCAACACCTATCAATGCTGCGAATATGCTTCGAACATGAATATCTGTGGAATCTATAGGTAGATTTGTTGCGAAGAGACTCCGCGAATCATTCTCGGACGGAATCTTTGGAGCATGCTGTCGCAAATATATGTGATGCGTCGTCGCAACGGGGTATGCGGGTGTAGAAGGAATTGCGATAGGAAGGACGGTATAGTTGTCACCAATGGTAATTGGTGCTTTGGACATGTTGTAGTGTATCTCTAGATAATTTGCATATGTGTGATGAAAATTTCGGATTCTGCGCGTGAAATTAAATTGAAGTGGTTAGTTCAATTGAGCTTGTCATTAGGGAACTTTTTTTGAAGCAAAAATATTTGGCAGGGGTTTGTGCCGTATCGGATGAGGCTAAGCTAAGCCCGAAGCTACGGGGTACCACAAACACCCGATCACTGACCATCCTCGAGCCATCAACTAAAGCAACACCAGCACTCCTCCTTTCTCTAGTATGCAACTGGAAAATACATTGAAAGATGCCAGAATTTATCCATTGAGTCTTTCCATAATATTAACGCCCAACCAAAGCAATGTGTTATCGAATAATGCAAGGTTATAAGTACGTGTATGAGGACTTTAATAGGCATGTCTGACTTTGAAGTTAAGAGGCATGTGTATATCATTAGGCCTTTTCAGGATCGTTGATACCGCCGGTTGTAATAATATATGTTGCTTCACGTTCCGGGCAATCTGATTTCTGCCATTAGTACAAGCGACTCGGATAAATCAAGGATAACTTACCAGGAGAATCTACGACTTTGGCAACACGTTCCTCTCCACGGCCCTTTCTCAAGAGGATTCTGGTTGTCGATGCATGTGCAAGTATATGTCCTCCAGCAGGCTTACGTCCATCAGCTCCTGCAAAAAGGGCACTGGCACCTGGATCCGACATGACTTGATTGGTCTGGAAAGTGTCAGTTAGATCTCTGATATAGAAAAGGAGAACATATATACCATGAAGACAACCAGATTGAATTCTTCCGCCATTTGTGTTGCCTTACGCAGAAAGGCGTTGAGGGCACCTTGTCGTTCGGAAAGTTCACCACGTCCGATAAAGTCACTACGATAGAGAGCCATAATGCTATCAATGATGAGGAGACGATATTCATCAGTTGCGAAGTTTTGGGCAAGACCCTCGAGCAATTCCTGCTGCATCTGATTATGGTTAGTAAAGGATATAATTTGAACTGAAAGAACCACGAGGTATACCTCAGTATTATGTGCACGAGCATAAACGATATTTTCGAGAGTTTGATCAGGGTCGACACCGAATCGCTCTGCAATTTCCGAAATTCTTTCTGGACGGAATGTGCCTTCAGTATCTGTCCAGTCAAGTCTTAGCAGATGTTCACCACAATTCTTAACTTCGCAAGCTATTGTCTTCCTACCGATATAGGCAACCTTTCCCTCGGCTCCGCCCATCTCCTTAGGAAGCTGGGCAATGACTGCCATTGTATGTGCTAATTGAGTCTTGCCACATCCTGCAAATTATTAGTGAGAGAAATATCCCAAGGGTCTCAGCAAACTCACTGAACTCCCCGTATACCTCGCTGATACTCATAGTTTGGAAGCCACTGCAAAAGATTAGACTTCCAGTTCAGGTCGAACTAAAAATATTGGCCCACCCGTTCAAACAAGCATCCAACTGCTTGCTACCAGTAGAAATTCTGATACACTTCTTTCGGAAGTGGCCATGCTCAGCGGCAGTGACGAATTGACCACCAGTGTTGGGGCCCTATCTTCTGTGAGCATATGGGACAAGGTAATACGGAGCTTGGTACTTACGGCTACTTTCTTTGCAGCTTCCTTGACTTTCTCGGCTTTAATGTCGGAGAAACCTTTGATTTTGACCAATCTTCGGATGGGCGTATTAATAAGAGTCTGATGCGAGGTCAGCTTCACGTCTTGAATCAGCCTTTCATGGCTGAGCGCAAGAATGTTCTTACTCCAACGGTATGGATGAGGTTGGATCTCAATTTCGCGATGTCCGAGGCAGAGATACCTGCTTCAATTAGAACCCAGAACTACAAAAGATGAAGAGCACTTTGCGGATTACCATGGGCCTGGATCTCATCGATATCGATGATACTACTCTAAAGATATGTGTCAGTGAATTACCTCTCGCATGAGACTAAAAACGACCTACCTCCTGCTCATTCGCATCACCGCAAAGTGAAGCTGCGATGGCCATATCGATGATTTATTACGATCAAGGCTGAGGCTTGAGATATTTGAAGAAAGATCCGAATAATAAGGTCCGATGAAAAATTTCAAGTGAAGTTGAAAGTGAAGCTGGATACAATGATTCAGTAACTACGCTTCAGATTGCTCCAAACTCTTCGTTGTCGTATCAAAATCATCATTTGGGAAGAGCAATACTCACTGTTTCGAAGGATTCAAACTTACGAACCAATACAAATAAATACTCAGAAAAAAAGAGATGATAACTACTAGGTATCTGAATCTTAAACTCAGAAACAATTGAGGATTGGCACGAATGAAATTCAATCCGGAAATACGAGAATGTATATTTATTAAGAAAATGTTGAAGGGATGAAGGCCTCGAGATAAGATACAGGTATACAGATGCAGGATATCAAATATGAAGTTCTTTCGAGTTTGGAAAATTCGAATTGAAGGTGAAAGTGAAAGTTGAGGGAAGCTCTAGGCAGGAGGCATTTGGCGCCAAGCTTGATCAAGCGAGGAGCGATATTTGTTTTGACTTCGATATATTTTCACAACACAGCTCTCCTGACACATACGACCATAGACTGAAGAGAATTGGGCATCCCGTCCGCTCTGCCATACACAAGCTTCAGATCGGTGGATTAGTAGTTGGGTGGGTGACCACCAGCGAATCCCCACTGTTGTATGTTTATTATTGTTATTTTTTTTGATTGTCATGAGGGAATCGCAATCGCCAGCCGAAAAGTGCAACTGCGCTCTTAGGCAGAGGAGGATGCTCTCTAGAAATCGAATCGTACAGGTCTATTGGGAAATAGAAATAGAAACAGAAACAGAAACAGACAGAGGGTGGAAGAGAGGGCCAAGTAAGGCACGATCCGTTACTAATCATGAAGACAACAAGCAGGTTGATCAACAGGACATGTATTTATGTCGTGTGAGTTTTGGTGGTAGATCTTTTGCTTAGGTGTTCTCAGCATACAACCATTTGGAAGTGCCTATCTTTTGACCTCCAATGGGATTGAACATGAGGCCCTCGAACATGCTTATCAGATAGGCGTTAGAAATAAACATTTCATTTTGACGTAGGCCATGAGAGAGGTCTCACCAGGTTATCGAAGAGCATCATGCGACCGTAGTGATACAAATGAATTAATCGATTATCAATTAGTTCTTATTTCATCGACTCTAATCATTGGGAATTGCCAATAGTATCATAAAGTTTCTGTCCTGACCACCGAAACAACTGCATAATGGATTGATTTCAAAAGCAAGCATACCGAAAACCATCCAATAACTTAATCTGTCTTCTGATGTTCAACCACGAATGACTCTCCGCTGCGCCTAACCCCCTCCTTCAATCCGATATGTCCTCGTCATACAAATACGCAATACCAACCCTATTAACCCTCGATGTCTCCCGTCCGAAAGACATAATCCAAACCACCCACTCAGTAACAACAGCCATAGCAAATCCGACAATTTTCGGTATCAACTTCACCTCGTCTTTTCGAGTTTGATGACCTGCCCCATCACAAATTTTGGAGCTGACAAAACGTGATGACTGAAAAAGTTCGTGATGGGTACTAATTATTTCGATTGCAAAAGATTTCCTTCCACATCGCAGAACTTCCGAGAGCGTTTCCATAGTTTGTTTCCAATTAATGCCCGACATCAAACACGCTCTCGTGTCCATTCTTACGTCCCGAGGTAAGGTTTAACTTCAAACACATCAAAAGGACATGTCTTCCCTCCTCCTCAAACACAATGGCACTTTACCATACTGGGTTCTTGTCGTGAGTTACCTGTTGCTCAGATAGGAAGTAAAAAGCTTATCCAATCTTAAACTCAGCAGCGTCCCTTCTCAGTAGCATACGATGGATGCTACACCCCCATCGAAAATGCGTCGCACCTATTCTGGTCCAACTTTGCAATCTCAGGTTACCGATCTGAGTACTCGGTTGTTCGGTACTTGGACCTTGGTATCTTTCATCCTTCGCGTATATACTGCGTACAATCTTGAGAATAAGGAGATTTATATCATTACTTTGTGGACTTATGTGATAGCTTTGTGGCATTTTGTTAGCGAGTGGTTGGTTTTTGAGACTATGAGTATTCGGAAAGGAGTACTACCGTCCTCTGTTATAGCGACGGTGAGTATTGGTTGGATGGCGAAGGAGTGGATGTATTATGTTAGAAAGTAAGAGTAGCGTGCAACTGGAAAATGGAGCTAGCAACATCATAGAAGCCCACTCCCAAAGCACCATCTCCCTCGGTTTTATCAATACATTGAAGACTGAAATTTGACAAGGAGGCATTGCTATCCTTAAAATTGTGTACGATTTGATCGTATTCAAACTTCACGTATGCCCTGCAAGCATGACTATTTCCGCAGCCAGTGACCGCTTGGTCAAGGTATTATTAAATGGTCAAAGTGAAGATATTTCAACATTGATCAATCTCCTCAATTTGATGATTGCCATGCAAAACTGGTATTTCCCCAACTCCTAATCTCTATGCAAACTTCTTTATAAATGTAGAGCCAAAACTGCCGCTTATCCTCAATGAGATATCTGGCATAAAAATATTAACCTAGTTGATATTTATTTACCCAAATACTCGGTAGAGTCATCCCACACCCCTATACTACTGTTACCTCTCATGTCCACATCCTGATTAAGTTCATCCCAATCTTCCCTCCAACTTATATCGTCCAGAGCTCTCGCGTGCTTTGCTGCCATAGTTTGCATTTCGATTTGGGTACGGTTAAGTAGTGATTGACTGGTCCCAAGCTCTTCCTGGCTGATTTGATTCATAGATTGCTTAGTCTCAAGAAAATAAAAGGCCAGAAAAGTGAGAGGAAACAAGGGAACGAGAATGAGAGTTAGCACCTACAGATGCGAAATGTGTTGCTCTAAATTAGTGATCTCTTCCGTGCATTCGTCCAACTTGGAGACGTGCCAGGCCAGAATCTTCTACATATAATACATGAGCAATCGTATCTTCAGATTGAAAGTTGTCTGATGTATATAAACTTACATCACTTTCTATTCTATGAGCCTGGAGTTCCCCGACTGCTTTTGCAAGTCGTACATTCAACGCTTCAGCTGATGTTGCTATCTCAGCAGCTTTCGCGACCGCTACGACACTCCTACTATATGAAGAGCTACGGGATATTGGTGGCGGAGAATTAGATCTTCGTAAGTAGCTCTCTCTTCTAGTGTTGAGTGGTCGTCCCCAGAACACATCGTTGGAGTCCCTACGCGGCGGCGGTGGTTTGACTTTTTTGTGAGATACTTTCGGGTCCAAATCCATAGCATATTCCACTCTCAATAGTGTCTCCATCTCATCCGTCTTCTTGTGCAACGCAGTGATGGCATCGTCTTCGGCGTCATCATGTGACAACCTGACTACGAGGTCATTGAGTCTTTGTAGTAAGACATCCTTGTTGTCCTGAGAGTCCTGATTCGAAGAATTTGATGGGGCAGTTGCTGGAGCATCAACATTCGTGAATGAGAGAGGGGAAGTAAAATGGCGCCGAAGACCCAGGATATTCATCTTTCTTTGGAGTATTACATGCAGGAAGTTATATAGGCGCTATGACCTAAGCAGCATCCAAGAATTCATTTTGTTGTAAAGGTTTCACGTGGATGCATTATGAAATGGAGTTCAAAATGCACAAATCCTCATACAAACCAATGGCTGATCTCAATACGACGTACATAAGTAGCGGTATGTCGCGCGTAGTGGGGTGGAAATGTCCTGTTGTTGGCATTTTCAGTGGAAGGTTCTGCCATGAGTCACCGCTTTTATTTACTGCTTTACTAGATAGCAAAATACATTGCGGGACAATTTATGTTCTACGAAGTAACAAACTCACAAAGAATTATTATTGACTCAATTAACAGAATTCTTTCACACTATTTGTGTACTTTCTTGGAGTTACAATCAGCTTTTGTATCCCCCCGTATTCATCCTTTTTACTTTCAATCTACTCCTCTCAAACAAAATGGTGGTGGGGGTATGTTGAAAAGATGACTCCTCCCAGAATTGACAAGAAAAAAGCTCACAAAGCAACTAGGACATCTCGCCTTCTTTGGCGGAAATATCGAATGTGCTTTCCAAAACTCGAGGAAAGTCATATGCCCCCAATTTAGTTGCAATCTACAAAGAAATCTCCTCCGATCTCATTACTCCTTCCGCCGCATACCTCAAGATATCCGCGCATTCGAAGTCCGACCATTCTTTCTTGTTCGAGAGTGCTGCAACGGAAAAGGTCGGCAGATACAGTTTTATAGGAGCTGGACCTCGAAAGATTCTTAAAACCGGTGAAGGACATGGCGAACAAGTAGACCCATTGCCTGCGCTCGAGGCAGAGTTGTCCAAATGTAGGGTAGCACAAATACCGGGACAAAAATTACCACCTTTGACAGGAGGAGCCATTGGATATGTAGGATACGATTGTGTTCGATACTTTGAGCCTAAGACTGCACGACCTATGAAAGATGTTCTTCAAGTTCCCGAGTCACTCTTTATGCTATTCGATACTATTGTCGCATTTGATCGATTTTTTGGAGTTATAAAAGTTATCACATACCTTCATGTCCCGGAAGATTTCACACAGATTTCAGCGGATTACGAGAAAGCACAAGAAACCATTGATGAAGTTGTTTCCGTTCTTGAATCACCAGATACACCTCTACCCGTTCAACCACCTATAAGACTGGACAATGAATATACGTCAAATATTGGGCAGGAAGGCTACGAGGGGCATGTTAACACTCTTAAGACTCACATCACATCTGGTGATATTATCCAAGCAGTACCGTCACAACGTTTTGCAAGACCAACTTCTCTCCACCCCTTCAATATATATCGTCACCTCCGTACCGTCAACCCCTCGCCTTACCTTTTCTACGTCAACTGTGGTGACTTCCAAATTGTAGGAGCTTCTCCTGAACTCCTCGTTAAAGCTGAAGAGGGTCGCGTGATAACCCACCCCATCGCTGGTACTGTCAAGCGCAATGCAGACCCTCAAATCGATGAAGCTCTTGCTGAAGAGCTCCGCAGTTCTCTCAAAGACCGTGCTGAACACGTCATGTTGGTTGATCTTGCACGTAACGATATTAACCGTGTATGCGATCCCATAACCACTCGCGTAGATCGATTGATGGTCGTTGAGAAGTTTAGTCACGTGCAACATTTGGTCTCACAAGTCTCGGGGGTGTTAAGGAAAGATAAGACTCGATTCGATGCTTTCCGTTCTATTTTCCCTGCGGGTACTGTATCCGGTGCCCCAAAAGTTAAGGCCATGGAATTGATAGCCGAATTGGAAAAAGAGAAGAGAGGTGTGTATGCGGGCGCAGTCGGATATTTCGGTTATGGAAGTGTAGATGCGGAAGGGAATGAATTTGAGGGAGAGATGGATACATGTATTGCTCTGAGAACCATGGTGGTCAAAGATGGAGTTGCTTATTTGCAAGCTGGTATGTTTACTTTTTTTTCTTTCGCGCCGAGCTTGCCCTTTCTACAAACGCCTTCATCCTTTACCTTCTATCAATTAACACAACCTACAGGCGGCGGCATAGTCTTCGACTCAGACCCATACGACGAATGGATGGAAACTATGAACAAACTTGGCGCCAACATGCAATGTATAGCCGGCGCCGAGAAAATCTACTCGAATATCCAATCTAAATCCACACCCAGCCCTGTGACTGGGGACGCCTCACTACCCACAAGACCCGAGGGGAAGGCTCACATTGATCTCGCAGCAGAATAAAACTCGACCAATCGAACATTGAAATGGCGGGCCAAGAGAGACGAAGAAATTTGGTGGTCTTGGTGGGGTCAGAAGGAGGTCATGCTTGGCACCTATCTCGACAATATCTGAGAACAACTCGACTTCGGTACGGGTCTATTGACTGTCGTAGAAGTTTAGGAAATACCAGGCTTATTTAGATTGATAAAAGACAAAAATCAAATACTCAAAATAAATACATTTGTAGAGTTGTTTTTGTATCGTCTGTGCAAAGTGTGGTCCGTGCATGTCTGACGTAGGAAACATTGACACGGAGATCGACCAACCGTTGATAGACTATCAGATGCATATTATGAATGTCGGTCAGACCCACACACGACTAGCGATTTGCAAAATTCAGATAAATCAAATTTGTGAAACACTAGGTAGAGATTCATGACAGGTCAAAGTGAACACGATTAATGGGAAAAACATGAAGAGGAGTATTTGTTATTTGTATTTTAATAGGTCGAAAAACGTGTGACCCAAATTCCTTCTACCCAGAGAGCATCTGTCTAACTTAGAGTACAAGGCGCTGCGTCTAATTCTATGTATACAATGGTCGTGAAATCTTTTATGCGGTAGCCTCCTTCAAGTGTCTGTGATGATGGTTAGCTACTGCGACTCAAATATCTCAAAAGGTAGATCAATCAAGCTGAACTTTCAGAAGGAACAATTGGAATAATAATGTTATATCCTCATAGCCATAGTAGACGTAAGAAGTTTAACGAATAAGAAAATCATCATGGTAACAGTAATATATGGAAAACCCCTTAGGATTTCGAGAGAAATAGGAAGTAAAACGTACTGGATCAAGTCGTTCCTGTCCTTGTCCTTCTTCAATCCACCGAAAGCCATCTTGGTTCCTGGAATGTATTTCTTTGGGTTCTCGAGGTATTCGAACTATTACATGTTAGACGCGGCTCTCTCTATACAACATAATTTCTGGTGGCGGTGTGGTGAAACATACAAGTGTGTTCTCGTCCCAGGTGATAGCCTTCTGCTTGTTGGCGTCGGTGTATGAGTAGCCCTCAACGGAACCGGTTTGACGTCCGAAAAGACCGTGAAGGTTAGGACCGATCTTGTTTCCTTCACCCTCACCGAGAGTGTGGCATTGAGCACATCTGGTCTTGAAGAGGTTGGCACCCTTCTTTGCGTCTCCTGTAGAAGAAAGTTGTAAGTATTTGTTCTTTATGCGTGTTGGCATGAAAATTTTTGTCGGGCAAAGTGGCGAGCGAGTGAGATTCAAAAGGGAGAATCTAATGCCGCAAGATAGAAGGGAGACGCTGCCAGGTTCTTGAGTGCTTGCAGAAGCTTATGAATGGCGCCCAGAGTCTGGCGGAGTGGCGGATGGAGTTGAAATGTCGAGTGGCGGCTCGAACAAACATTCTCCCCAAATCGAAAATATAAGTACGCCCTCAATTGAAGACGTCCAGAGCATTTCCGAGCCACGAGCCATACCGTTGTGCAAGTCGAAGACCCAATTCGCATCTTCCAACTCCCAATGGCAAGATTCTTTGTGGACGATTCACATTTCCCAAAAGTGGGAAGCCCATCAGAAAGGAAAAATAAACATACCTGCTTTGAAACCCATTTTATCTAATTAAGAGGATGTATGTAAAAAGAACTGAAAGTAATTATGTATGTATGACTTGAACGAAGGTTCGTGAACGTAAGGTCGTGAGAGGAAAAGTGGTAGGAATTTTCAAAATAGTATTGTATGAGGGTTTAAAAAAGAAAAAGGAAAAATAATCTTGCTTGAATATGTACTCTACCTGCAGGAATAAGACGTAGCTTAATTTTTGATCCCGAAATTGACGAGGTCATTTTGAGCCACACTTCCCGAACGTCTCCAGCCAATAGGAGAAATTGAAATGGTCAGGTCATGTGGCGCAGGTCGGGATCTTACGGAGGATTAATGAAATTTTTAATTTGCGTCATGCAGACTTGTTGGTGAACGTATTGCGGGAGTGAATCATGAATTTGTGAGAAGCTTCATTTTTTGATATCATAGGTGCAAGGTAGGTAGATTGTTGATCTGTTACTCACACTATCAATCAAAATCAAGAGGATTTTTTCGTAGTCTATCATTCATAATGTCGTCCACAGCCTCTATACCCAGGTTTCTTTTACCACTTCGATCTCCTCTCTGGTCTCTGTCCTCAAAAACGACCATTCGCAATGCTTCTACCAAATCAAAGAACAATGCATCCAAAAAGTCTACCAAGCCCCTCGTTCTCGAGAAACCCACCAAATTCAACCCCCCTTCTCACCCTGCCCGCCTCCGCAAAGATCCTCCCCGGTATCCAGGTCCCCAATTGAGCGCCGAAGAAATAGCTAGACAAAGCGTGAAGAAATATCCAAATATGATGCCACCAGAAGGAACATTTATGCATTGGTTTCTCAACAACAAGTCCATTCATATCTGGATCGCATTGGTAATACCTATTCCATTCTCTTTCAGTTTCCCCAAATCATATAACTAACCTTCAATCCCAGGGCACACTCTCTACCCTCGCAGGAGGAGTCTGGATCACAAACTTTAAGCGCGATTCCCCATTCGGAGATATGCTACCTGAATGGCCACAACTATTTCTACACCCAATCGCATTTACAAGAACATGCTATGAAGTTTTACAGCTGCACACTGCGCATGTAACAGCAGAGACTATGGAAAGGAGAAAACATAAGGTGGAGGACGTTGCGAAGAGGGCTGCGTATAGAAAGGCGCATGGATTAGATAAAGACGAAGGCTTTGGTGGCTGGACTGCTAAGACTGATAGAGAGGTTTTGGGCCCGGGGATTAAGTTGGGACATGAAAAGGAAGCTGAGATTGCCGAGACGGCTGAGGGGGGTGTGGAGGGAAATGGCAAGGAAGGAGAGAAGAAGGTTGTTTATGAGAAACAATTCTCAGGAAAGAAATGGTTGGGAATTTGGTAGGAGCCAGACGCATCTTTTGATACCAATTTTATTTTGAAATCGATTAGAACGTTGTTCTGGTGTTAGGCCGACATGAGACGAGATATTGTACATGTTTGGAGAAGAAGGGTATCATTGTAGAAAATTCCTTGTAAAACCGCGACACTAGGACAGCTCCACAGTCTCCAATCCATCTAATACCTCCTCTGCTACACCTCCTCTCTCCATAACCTTTGCAATTATCGTCGCGACCAACTTTCTCTTGATTCCTCCCCTCGGTGGTTGCCATACACCTCCCTCATTCATTGTCTCTCTTTGAGTTGATGCTAGATCCGTCGTCTCGGCTGCCGCACCTCCAGTAGCAGTATTCATCGCATTAGGCACACCAGGCGCTGTTAACCTAGCTGGTAGATCCACGGTCCTCACAGCCAACAATCTTAGATCTCTTCCAGAGCTAGAATCCATATCTACGTCTCCATCTTTACGTCTTCTTTCACCAATGGTTATAGCTAACACAGCTTCGGCGACTGTAAGTTCCTCTTTACTCGGGTCGAAGATTATGTTATCGCCGACGGATATGACGAGAAGTGTAATTGGGGGTCGGGAGTTGGTGGATTGTGGTGTTCGAGGATATAAGTAGACGGAAGCTTCCCAATCGTCGTCAAAGAGTGGATCTTCATCACCTTCAGACTTGAGACGTGGAAGACGAGTGGATAGAAGCGCGAGATGAGTTGTTAAAGAAAGGAGGGGTAGTGGGTAGGATAATGGCTGTGAAAGTAGTAAAATCTGTATGGTTGTCAGTCGCGATGATTAAATTTTGGGCAATTAGAGATCTTTCATTATAAATGTATAGAGGAAAACTCACATCAACATATATCTTCCAATGATACCTTGAATTAATCCATAATCTTCCCACAAACTCCGCATCTGCTAGTAGCGCCTCACTCAGCATGGCCGCCATGAAAACAGGCATACTATCGTCATCCCGAAACCCCGGAATCTCCACACTCAACTCCAGCCAATCTCTTTCTCCCTTTTGTTCTTTCTCAAGCTTCTCTTTCTCTATCGCTTCTCTCATATCTTCATCCTCCTCGTCATCGTCATCATTTTCCGAAGGACCAAGTTCTGCAGCTTGATAAGTCGGTCGCGATTTTTCGACTTCACATTTCACACCCACGATAGCTTCGGTACCATCTGCAAAACAAATGCGCGCACTGCCATTTGTACCGGGGAGGACATCGCATTCGGCGATGAGAGGACGGAATTGAGTAGACGTACGGGCGTCAGGGCGAATTGGAGGGTTGAGAGAGAGGGATGTGTGGAGGTAAGAGAGTTCGGCGGGCGAGAGTAAAAGAGGCTGTGTAGAAGAAGGTGGCATTTTGGATCTAGAACTCTTCACAAGCGACCAAATTGGAAATCTGGGGAGAGGTTGTGAGGTGATTGGATTATTCACGATGTTGTGCAGTATTTCTTTGCGAGAGCCAGCCTAGTGGAAATTCTTTAGACGAGGCTAGCATGCATGCAAGCAAGGCTGTCTATTTGAAGAAAAAAGAGGCGGAACCTGACCACTCAAATCTCCATTGAGATCTTTTAAATCAAACCGAATAAAAAAACAATTATAAATGAATCATATAAAGTTATGAAGATCAGAAGAATTGTCAACTTTATTATATATAATATTCAAGAAAAATAACCAAGTTATTAAAGATGATATAGAAGTGATTAAAATTCGCCTCTGTAGGCAATGGTTTAGTACTCGACTCATCCTTCGCTTGACCTCTATATAACAATAATGTAGAATAGCTTGTCGATTCCGTGGCTCGTTGACCAGGCTATAGTTTTGGGATGATAGCATATGAGTTCTTGTATATTGCTTTGGACCCCATGCAAATGTCATCCTTGGGATAGTTTCGAATTCCTGGCGCTGTTCTTCACATCCCAATTTTGGCCTAAGGTTATATCGAAATGATTCATGTGAGGATTGGAAATCCAGTCGGCGTGATGTTCCTCCATTACCCATGCTCTGGGGCCAAAGTCTCCGAGAACATCTTATATTCCCGAATTTAAATTAGAATGTGATCAAAGCTGTACTGCCTCTAAGTAATCCAATTCCTTTATTGACCAATCATTATCTCCAGAATCCTTCAGAATGCCATCTATTTTATCAATTATCTGGAATAACAAGTTCAACCTTCCCCCCCTTCCAGCACCCAATACTTTTTTAGGAAAATCCATTCTTATCACCGGTGCAACATCGGGAATAGGTTATGCAACTGCAGTACATTTTGTCAGTCTGGGTGCAAGATCTGTGATCATAACCGGAAGATCGCTTGCGAAAGGGGAACTAGCAAAGGCTAGAATAGAAGATGAGACGAGCACAATTGGAAAAAACATTGTAAGATGCATGGAGTAAGTTTGATTCAACTGTATTAAAATAAGAACAACTAATAGAAGCCTTTTGATTTCTGAAGTTCCATCAAGTATTCAGATCAGCTGGAATATTGAATTACTTTCAGATGTCTACGGGCTTCCAAATGTTGAAAGGTGACATATAACGGGCTATTGCAGATTATTGGACAGCTTGAAATTGTCGCTATAGTTATATCTTGGTTCACATACTAACCCGAGACTCCAGGTTAGACATGAGCACCTTTGAAACTATAAATGAATTCGCAGGGAAAGTGACAAGGGATATTCAAGAGATCGACTTCGTTTGTTTGAATGCTGGAGCTATTTCCACTAAACACAAACTAGGCAAGGAAGGATACGAAGCCATGATTGAGATAAGCGTTCTTGGAACTTCTTTCTTGGCGTTACTACTACTGCCTTGGATAAAAGCAGTTGGAAGAGGAATTGCTCATTTGGGCATAGTAACAAGTAAGTGAGACTAAGGCACTTGTACCTTGATGAGTCGACATTGATCGACTCTACAAAGAAACCCACTTGGATTTTTGAATAGGTTTGACTAACATAGAGCTTTCAGGTGGAGTTCATAGGAGCGTTGACATCTCCAAGTGGCCGAAAGATAATGTGCTCAAATATTGGAGCGCGAAAGAGAACTGGAAGGACGGGCAAAGTGGTTATGGTCTAGCCAAATTGCTCCAACAGTATGCGGTCAATGAACTCGCCAAGTTAGCACTGAGAGCTGACGGAAAGTATGAATTATTCCCCTCACGCCCACCCCTCGAATTTGTAATCACATAGTATGTACTGATATCAATCAAGGCACAAGGTCATTGTGAACTCAATTTGTCCAGGTTATTATCCCTTTGACCTAATTCAGAGTGATGACTTTCGATCCTAATTCGTTCTAGGAATGGTAAAATCAGACCTTGGACGAGAGTACAACACCGGTGTAGCCATGGGTATAATTATCAATTTGTGGATGGGTCTTGCTTGCAAGACTACTGAAGGTGGTGCTCGAACTTACGTCCTTGCAGCCCTCACTCCTTCATCGGAACATGGAGCACATTACACAAATTATGAGACGGAGGAAAAGTATAAGAAGTAGGTTCTATACAACCCCCGTGATCACATGTAAGCTAAGAAGATGTGTAGTTCCGTTGAGCATAATATTTTTGGAGACGAGGGCCAAAACATGCAGGTGCAAGTTTGGAAAGAGATATTGGAAATAGTGGATAAAAAGTATCCAGAAGTGGTCGAGAGAGTTCATAGTTGAGTTTGTTCGAGATGTTTTTGAATGGAAGGTTTCCATCCTATCTTGTACCGGTGGTTGTCTCCATGTGTGGTGACTTTGTGGGTTCTTCTGGAAATAAGTTAATACTCCAATTTGACTTCGGTATTTCAGCTTTAATGAATCTCGAGATCTTGCAAATGTAACCTCCAGAGACCCTTGGCTAATAAGTGCTGCCAATGTTCTGTTCATTTGCTTCAACCCCATGGGTTTGGATCATGTGAGAAAACGAGGTACGCCCAATCAATTGAGCCAAGTATTTGGATTAAAACACTTTGTTGCATATCTTAATCGTTGACGACAATTTGTCATTCATCCTGATCATAGTGATCATTAGAACGACGGCACTTAGCCTAATAAATCCTACTGAGTATAACCTTAACAGCAATGACGCGCGAGCGACACGCCAAGCAGTATATCGATATCGAAATGGCAACAGTCGACGAACTACCAATGTCTTGATTAGGACAAAAACTTGGGTGACCTAGAGTAGTGCTGAATATTGCTACTTACTACAAATTACCTAATATAGCTTGAACGTTTGTTAAATGGTCTGGACTCTGGAGCCGTCTAGTTGACGTTTTTATGTACGCGGAGTAGTTGACGAGGCTAGGCCAAGAATTGATTTATTGCTTACATAAGATGGACCTTTTCAACATCACCTGTGTGTAGAACTATGCCGAAAAAGAGATTCTTTTCCAAACTGGGTTTCCAACGGAGCCTCAACAGTAGCTAGGTATACGAAATGAGAACGAACATGTGCATAATCTTGTGTTTATCCCAGATACTCCCATTCATGATCCAGCTCAGCCTGCCAAGGGACAGAAGTAGCCAATATTCGTACTGGCCGTCTAACCCCGATCATTGGTGGGAACTTAAAAAGTGAAGCTATCAAGCTACGATTGTCAATCTTCTATGGACCGATTTTCTATAGTTGATAAAGTATGATCTACACATCAAGCAAACAAACATGAAGCCATGGCATTAATTTTGGATAAGCAAATCAGTTTTCCATGCTTCTGCCTAGCTATCAAGGAATTTCCAAGTGGAAATGATATCAAGGCGAATTGGTTGTTCGAATGCTCTTTGAAGTAGTCATTCGCTTCCTTGCTTTTGGAGAATTTGCCGAGCTACTAACATTACTAAACTCAAATCATTCCACTTCTAGAGTTATTCATAGTCTAAATTACTCGATCGTCTATGTCAATGACATCCTCGTGCAGCTAGTAATAAGTATAGCACACTATGCACGACTTAGTATTCAATATACTTTGAGTATTTACCATAAATAAGAACTTTGTCTCTCCTCCTATTGCTTCTCTTTACTTTTGTATGTTTCAAAATCCTCAATTCATTATGGTTTCCACTACAAGCTCTGATCGAAAGGGGCAGCCTGAAGACAGGGTTTCCTCTTCACGACATCTCGAGCAAACCACTGACGCCGAACGTCTTGCAGCTACAAATAGAATCTTGAACGATCCATTAGCATCATATGATGAGAATAAATTAGAAGAACTTGCCGAGGCTTACGCTCGAAAACATGGGCTCAACGACTCTGTCGATATTTCCGCATTCAAGGTCGGAGCATTACTTGCAAAAGATTCAGGTAGTGTTCGAGCCAGGAACGAACTTTCCAGGGGCGAGATAGATTATTTGGAAAAAGAAAGAACAAGTAAATGGTCTCTGCCATCGCTTTTCATCAAAGTTATTCTGCTTTGTTCAGTTTGCGCAGCCGTTCAAGGAGTAGACGAGAGTGTCGTAAATGGAGCGCAGATATTCTACTCCCGTTTGTTTGGAATTGATGATGAAAATAGTTCTTTGGACCCATGGCTATTAGGTATCACAAATGGTGCCCCGTACGTATTCAATTTCTAAATTCCTTTCGAGGTTCTAGTCCCTACTATAGCTACCCAAGCCATCACTAACTTAAGACTTTCAAAGATATCTCGGTTGTGCAATTGCTGGCTGCTGGCTGACTGTTCCATTTAACAATTGGGTAAGTTATATGCACCCCTTTTACTGCTAAGTGCAGTTCTTTTCCTCTTAATCCTCGTTTCCCACCAAAATATTCATCGATAGGCAATACTGACTCCTCGCAGTGGGGGCGTAGAGGCACCATCTTCGTCACTTGTTTGATCTCCGCACTAACCTGCTTCTGGCAGGCATTCACCAACACCTGGTGGCACATGTTTATCGCTAGGTATTTAAGAGAAACCCCTAAATTTTCTATTGAAAATTGAAAATCTCTAATATTTGATACTAGGTTCATGCTCGGAATAGGTCTTGGTGCAAAGTATGTATTGTTACCCGTCTTGTCTTTCATGATAACAGCAAGCCCAGGACGCTCCTCACTATTGAATAGATTCCTAGTAATTCCTAATACCGATGCTAACGTTACCTAGGTCGGCCACTGTACCCGTATATGCCTGCGAGACCTCTCCAGCATCAATTCGTGGCGCTATGGCAATGCAATGGCAAGTATTCACTGCTTTTGGTATTATGTTAGGCTTTGCATTTGATCTAGCCTTCTACTATGTTCCCGATACGGCATCTAATATCCATGGACTTAATTGGAGACTAATGATGGGATCTGCCGGAGTTCCTGCTCTCTTCGTTTGTTTCTTTGTTTTCTATTGCCCCGAGTCACCTCGCTGGTACATGGGTAAAGGGAGACATGAAGAAGCATATCAAGCAATGTGCAGAATCAGACACACTAAGGTCCAGGCGGCACGTGATGTTTTCCAGATGCACATGCTTCTCGAAGCTGAGAATAACATGGGTTCTGGACAAAATCATATCAAGCAATTGTTCACAGTGCCTCGAATTAGAAGAGCAATGGTTGCGTCAGAGATCACAATGTTTATGCAGCAGGTAGGTTATGTGCCCAGCTTCAATTGCTAGATGCACTTAATTATCGGTTAGCTCATAGTGATGAAAAGGGGAGATGCATATCTTTTTCCCCCGCTTCCAAATTTCGTGACCCTTCACATTAAAAAGACATTGAATATGGTAGCTAATATACGTATTAGTTCTGTGGCATTAACGTGATCGCCTATTATTCATCCGTAATTTTCGTTGACGCTGGCTTCTCAGAGGTTAATGCTCTATGTGCATCTTTGGGTTTCGGCATGCTTAACTTTCTCGGAGCGCTTCCTGCAATTTGGACAATCGACAAGTTCGGTCGACGATGGCTTCTACTATTTACCTTCCCGCTTATGTCAGTCTTTCTGTTCATGACCGGCTGGAGCTTCCTAATTCCCGAGGGAACTACTCGAATTGCCATCGTAGCTCTAGGCATCTATCTCTTTTGTTTGGCCTACAGCCCGGGAGCCGGGCCTGTTCCCTTTACATACTCCGCAGAGGTAAGGAAGTTGCTTTGTTGTATATAAATAGCCTAGCCCTAACAAATCTTCAGGCCTATCCTCTCCATGTTCGTTCACTAGGAATGTCCTTGGCAACTGCAACCACTTGGTTCTTCAACTTTGTCCTCGCCATTACATGGCCATCAATGCTGAGAGCCTTTAAGGCCCAAGGCGCTTTCTCTTTCTACGCCGGTTTCAACGTTGTTGGCTTCTTTCTTACCCTCCTCTTCGTCCCAGAAACCAAAAATAAAACACTGGAAGAATTGGACCAAGTTTTCAACGTCCCTACGAGAAAGCACGCGGCATATGGATGGAGTCAATTTACTTACCCTATCAGGCGACATGTCTTAAGAATGGATGTTGAGAGGCCAAAGCTTTATGAGAACTTGGCCCAGGATAGCAATCATCATTACAGTCCTACCTCATCTATGAGGGCTGGAGACAGGGGCGACAGTATTGAAAAGCACGCTTGATTGAGATATCTTGGTGCATTTATATCATTCAGTTATTCAAATGGGTTGAGCCTTTTCAACAACTTAGAACATCCAAAACACTTGGAGAACTTAGATGAACTCTACCTGCTTGGATGGCTCAGATGATTCTATCTGGAAATCTCCGCTCTCCTCTAAACAATCCAAACTTTGGGAAACTTTATACATAGAAATTGTAGCTAAAAGTTAATAATTGAATTTCAATCACCAATGTGAAAATTTCCCTTTGGTTATAATAATATTCTCTCCACCATGGCATATGCAACCTCCAGTTTGAGTTATAACGGCGTTTGATTGGCTGCCACGAAATATGCGATTTGTGGTTGAATAAAAATGCATTGTGGCTGAAGACATCTGCATCTGATCGTGTGAAAAAAAGAACAGCGCGAATCTTCATACCTCCATCGAGCATTACCTCCAGTGGTAAATATGTTCTTATTGGTTCACCATGCATCAACCACCAACACGGGAATCATGACCGATAATTTCACAGCCGTGTTACAACAGGATGCAACAGGATAATTGATCGCAAGATGTATGATTTGCCAATTGATAAAATCCAACGCAGCGATGTGCCTGAACGGCAGACCTACAAAATAGTGCTACTGCAATGCTGCCAGATGCAAGGTTCATTCTGAAGCATATAGTTCTTTAAACCCCTCACCATAGCCAATCTTTCCATTTGGTTCTATCAACCGTGAGTTAGGCAACTTATCATTGCTCAACTAAGAGTTACACATACATCATGTTACCTCTCATAGCTTATACATTTGTGACTGTAGCATCATGTATATGGCTAATCAAGCGTCTGCAAACCGCTATCCTCTCACCTTTATCTCAAATTCCTAACGCAAATTTCACGACGCCATATTCAAAATCATGGTTGTTTTGGCATCGAGCAAATGACACTGAGCACAAAGCTCGATATGCTGCTCACAAAAAGTACGGTCCTGTTATTAGAATTGCACCAAGAGAATTGAGTATAAATTGTCTTGAAGATGGTGTTAAAACGGTTTATGGTGGTGGATTCGAGAAAGGGGAATGGTATTCGATGTTCTTGAACTATGGGTATGTGATCATATTCCTCTTAATGCTTTACATTTGAATATTGTTTTGACTTGTCTCCATGTTCAGTCACAGCGTTTTGTTTTCTATGAAGGAGGCACCAGTACATACTGAACGCAAACGCATGTTATCTCATGTCTACTCCAATTCTTTTATCCAGGCGTCCGAGGGCTTGACGGAGATCTTGAGGAATATTACCTACAACAGATTTATTCCTCGGATGCGTGTTTGGGCGGAAACAGGCACACCAGTGAATATATTTCAAGAAAACAAAGCACTCTTTATGGATCTCACGAGCGCATACTTATTTGGTCTCAAAAACGCCTCGAATCTTGTTGAAGATCCCGACAAGAAATTGATTCTACGAAATTTTGAGCTAGGTCTTGGTGGGCTGTTTTGGAGACTGGATGTTCCCAATCTTACGAAATGGATGGGGCGATTCGGCATGAGTCCGTTGGATGAAGGAATAGCTTCTGCTTCCCAAGCAATGGAAGACTTCATTCTCTCGATGGCATATCGAGCAAGAGACACTTTTCAATCTGAAGAAACTAACGAGATAGAATCGTATCCAACCGTGTATGGACAATTACGCCGAAAGCTTGAAGCTTCGGAAACAGTTTCTGCAAATCAAGTAGACACAGTGGTTGCTGCAGAAATGCTAGACCATATCGCAGCTTCACATGAAGGTTTATCTATCACGGTAAGCTATTTGATGGCTGAGATCGCTCGTCATACATCTATCATCTCGCGTCTTCAGAAAGAGCTACTTTCTGTGAATCTGGACACAACGCCTTCGCAAGAAATTGATTCGTTACCGTTACTAAATGCTATACTTATGGAAACATTACGACTGTATCCCGCTGGTCTAGGAGCATTTACTCGCCAAGTTCCGGAGAAAGGCGCTATGATTGGAAAATATTCAGTACCGGGCGGTATTACTGTTAGTGCATCTGCATATACTTTACACAGAAACTCAGATGTTTTCCCGGACCCCCTAAATTGGATTCCAGATAGATGGTTGGATGTGTCCCCAGAGGCAAAGAAACAAATGCTGCGATGGCACTGGGCTTTTGGCAGCGGAGGAAGAATGTGTATTGGAAACCATTTTGCTATTCGTAGTAAGTGAACTCTCCTTAAGTGAATGAATTCATTCACCGAGAATTAATAAGACTTGCTGACAAAAAGGTAGTGATGAAAGCGGTAATCGTAGCAGTTTTCAAGGAATTTCAGAGTGTAGTAGTGCCGGAGACGAAGATAGAGCAAGTGGAAGGTTTTATAGGACATCCTGCAGGCTATGCTATTATGCTGGCATTTAGGAGAGCAGATACAGACGGATCTTGATCAATGTTTCAATGGTCCTTCGAACAGTGTTAAAATATATCCCTTACAAGAGAAAATTAAGAGCGAATCAGCGAAGCTCAAGATTTATTAGGCGTCCTCACGCCATGTAAAACATATGCCGCAATTTGCAGCGCCGCAACCTGCACATCCTACAAATACCCAGTTATTGAATACAAATATTGAATATCAAGGCTCAATTCTGTGTAACCGACATCGCCACAATTTTGCATTATATGTACATGTTTTTGAAATTGTTGGGAGAAGATACGTAGCTGTATTATCTACTTAGCCTACCTATGCATCTGTTTTACATCAATAACTGTCAAGCAAACCTACCATTTGAATGATCTTTCGATCTGCAAGATTCTTTTCACCAAGTTAATTTCTTGTATCCATTATAGCAGATCTCCAGTATTTCCCATTTCCTTCCGCTCATCAACATGTGGTGACCGTTAGACAAAAATTACCCAGAATGCCAACCGGCACAGGTTGATTCCAAAACATATGATTTTGTCATAGTTGGAGGTGCGCTGTTTCTACTATTTTCTCAATTTCCCAGTCCACTGTGTATCTCCTAACTAACGTCTGTGGTGGTTTCAGGGGGCACCGTGGGGTGTACATTAGCATCTCGATCGAGCGAAAATCCCAATATCTCGGTTCTTGTCCTCGAATGCGGTCCTGCAAATGACACATGGCTATCCCGCAATCCTCTTATTTCTTCCGATCCGACTCGTCTGACCTTTGGTGCGATGAGGTGGAAATCTGAGCCCATGAAGTATTGTGATAATCGTCGGAGCGGAGTAATCCGCGGCGAGGTTTTGGGCGGTACCTCCAGAATTAATAGTATGATTTATACACGCGGGACTCCTACCGACTATGATGCATGGGCATTTTTAGGCCATTCTGAGTGGAGCTATGAGAAATTGCTGCCTTACTTTGTTAAGAGCGAGTCCTCCCTTGATTATCAAAATTCAACTTAACATGGAAACACGGGTGAGTAAACTCAAATGCACCATTTGTTCTTCTCTAATACTAAAATATGCATGTTGTAGGACCATGGATTACCCAAACCTTCACTTACTTCAACTGGCTATTCCAAGCCTACCGAGCGTTAGCTTTCTTTGACCCCTATGATTGTGATCTCACTTCTGACTTTCGGTAGTTTCACTGATTGTGCCAAAACGATGGGGTTCATTGCCGTCCCAGATTCTAATGCGCCGGATGCTCCCCCCGAAGGAGTCGCAATACTCTCTCTTACTCTTAGTAAGCGCAGAGAGCGTGTATCCAGTTTTGAAGCGTTTCTTCCCAAGATTGCATTGGAAAGACGAAACCTCACGATCTGCACCAATACTCTTGTCTCTCGTATTTTATTTACGCAGGAGAAGGGGCTTCCGAGTACCGAGAAGATAGTCTTTCAATCCTCGGGTCGAAAATCTGAAAGCACTTATTCAGCAAAGGTTAACAAAGAAGTCATGGTGTGCTCGGGTGCGATAGGCTCACCGCAAGTGCTTATGCTCAGGTGTGTTTTCTTCTTTGCCCTGATTTTATCATGCATGAAGGAGAAAGGAAAGTAACAAAGACGAGAAAGAAAGAGTGAACTAATATGTCAATCGCGTAGTGGTATTGGGCCTCGTGAGATTTTAGAAGAACATAGTATCAAAGTGGTGCATAACCTACCGGGGGTCGGATCTACTTTGGTATGCTTCGAGCCATTCTCATCAATAGTGTATACTTACTAACCTACTATGATACAGACTGACCACCATAGTATCCCAGTCGCTTGGGAGGTACCGGCAGCCGAATCACTAACTTCCATGGCAACCAGCCCCTCAAAATCACACTTGAACTTTTCAAATATATCTTCTTCCAAGTTGGTCTCTTCAGCATTCTTGTTCAGACCTTAGCTCTCTATGTTCGCTCTCGAATGATCAAACAAGATAGCACTGGACTTATCGAAGAAGCTTCGACGAAATCTTTAGACCCTCAAAGCCTCATCCCCGACATTGAGCTCATGCCACTTTCCACGAGTGGAATGGATAATTTCGACGAGCCAGAATTCATAAACATATTCTCTAAAACACTCATGTTTTGTGTTCTGGCCGCGATTCTTCAACCAAAATCCTCTGGAACGGTCCGCTTGGCGTCGTCAAATCCACACGACAAGCCGAAAGTTGATTTTGGAATCCTGTCCGACGCCTCGGATCATACCATTGCTCGTAGCGCCGTTCGACTCACACTTTCCATAGCAGATAAAATGAAAGAGTCTGGGTTCCCTCTTCCTCGAAACATCACCTTTCCAGCCGAAAAACAAGAACTTGATGTTAAGAGCAATACTACAGAGGAGATGGATAGATTCATCCGTCAACGAATAAGAACGACTTTTCACTATGCTTCTACATGTAAAATGGCACCCGAGCATGACCCGATAGCCCCAGGAGTGGTAGATGATGAATTGAAAGTCTATGGTGTAAAAGGTTTAAGAGTTTACGATACGAGTATGTTCCCGCAGATTGTATCGGGACACTTGCAAGCAGCTGCTATCATGGTGGCAGAGGAATGTGCGGATTTGATTAAGAATGAGCTATGAAAGAATTGGGTTGGTGTCGGCGAACTTGCTTACCTTTCTGGAGGTTTAGCTTTGAGTTTGTATTTGTTTGTGAATGGAGAAGATTGCCCATGGCCCTAATTCATCAGGCTTTCATTAGCGCTAGTTCACTCGTGGAGTCTCAGTATAGCGTAATAGGCCCTTGGCCTCAATTCAAACCATTTGATAGATTGACACATATCAACTACTTATCGTTCTAGCTCGAAATGGGTTCTATCACAACCTCCGAGTTTGTGACTAAATGGTTCTCTTGGTACTCTGGGCAACTCTCCACTTCTACGTTATCAATTTTCCTTGATGAACCATCATCTTGCTTTTGAGAAAGAGTATGAGAAGCTCGTTATACCTATATATTCATCATTGGGGCTCGATTAAAAAAGTGAACATTCGGCATTGGATTAGAGTAAAGAACTTTGTAAGAATAATGGTATTCAATTAATTGATCTCGCTATTGATCGAAATTCTATCATTTCTACCCCATCTTTCATCCACCCCATATTTATGTATTTCGTTCCTGCAATTCTCCAAGGAAAACTTATGTATCGCTTTCAGGATATTGTGGTCTCATTGAACGCCCTCCCCAAGCGGTCCAAGACTCCATCAATCCAATACCCATTTAATCCATCCATCATAACATTATGTTCCATCATAACACCAGTAGAAATAACCCAAGAAGACTTTTTTTTTTTTGCATAATGAATGTAGGTGTAGATCAATCGCAGGCAATGAATGCAAATTTATCAATCAGTAGCCTCAGGAGTGGCTGTCTCGCTAGCACCTTGACTTGAAACCTCCAAAATCTTGGGTGGTATGCCTCCCATCGTTGGTTTTCCATCGAGGCTCAATCCACCCAAGCTATTAAGCGGCAATCCTCTTGGGTTGTTCTCCTTCATCTTCTTCTTGAATTCCCTTTCGATTCCATGTTTGACCGCATCCAGTACGGTATCCACGGTCACTCTAGGTTTGTATGCTGGCTCAGTCCCCTCTTGGTATACTCCAGTTCGTACTAAGATAGAATACCAATCATTCTTAGACTTCTCGTTGAATTGATTAGTACCTCTGATATCAGATTCTGGAGTGTCGCCGACGAAGTAAACAGTCTCAGGAGGACGGTTGCAGCGATGCTCATCCTTGCGCCATTGCTGTAACAACCTGGTAGCAAACTCAAAGGTTCCAATTTGAGGCTTTCCGAAAGCGATGGTTTCTAGCTCTTTACCCTTGGTGAGGTCTCTGAAAAGCATTTCGGTCATTTTTCGTAAAGCGCCCATACCGAGACGAACATTTTCGTGAGCAGCTGACCAGACAATATCGCTGTGAGAAAAGTAGATTGGTGGCCCCTCATCGAAAGTTTCTGAAAGGGTGCCAATGTATCCTCCTTTGGACATAGCAAGATCGAGCATAATTTGAACGTCGCTAGCCCAATCACGACTATCGGCGAAGACGAATATGGCTTCGATTTTAGTTTTGCTATAATCACGACCACCACGTGAATTCTTCAATTCTTCGGTTGTGAGTTTGCGGAATGGAGTGGTATGTTCGTTGTCTTTAATGATATCACCTGGAGTGATGACATCACGGAATCCGTAACCTTCGGCAACTTGCCTGCATTTTTCACCCTCACCTCCAATTACAAGAACAGTTTCGTATTTTTCAACCATTTCTCTCATAGGAGTGTGACCTGGAGGGAATTAGTATCTGAGTTGCAAGTACATTTCGACGAATCCTTCAAATGAAGGATCCCAGCATGGGGCATAGGTACGTACCGCAAATGAACTGTGAAGGCGAGACTTCAATGTCCAGTTGTCTTGAAAGATCAATACACCTTTCTGCTTCAGTCTTTCCACCTCCATTTGTCAAGAATATGTATGGACTATGGACGTGTCAGCAAGGGGCTCTTCACACTATTTGCTGAAAGCAACATACATTCTAATACCATATTCATTCTCTCCATTTAGCATTCTCATAGCTTCAATAGCTTCTGGAATTGGTTTACCACCACGAATGAGAACTCCATCGATATCGAAAGCGTAAGCAAAAGAATCAGTGGTGGGGACATCGGCAGGGGTGAGTGGAGTTGCCGGTGAGTCAGGGGAACTTGACGAAGATTCCTCTTCCTCAAGGTTTATAGCACTGAGTTCGTTTCTGGCATTTTCCAATGAAGCTGCAAAGTTTCCACCTTGGTATGAAGTTCCTCGGGATAAAGATTCTCTCATTAATCTTTCTGGAACAACGACGACCGGTCCGCCGGTTGAAACTTCTACTGCGTTGGTAGTCATACTTGAAAGTCTGCGAATTCCAGGTCTGGGTCTGGCAGCTGCAGAAGGTTTGAGGGTGGAAGAAGGCGCCATTTTAAGTAAATATAAGCGTAGTACAAAATTGGAGTAAGTTGGCAGGAACAGTCAGCGATTGACTTTCGGGTAACGGGAACTGCTTCGCCCGTTTGTTGTTTGGATTGAGAAGCTGCGGTTAACTGCGCGCGCTTCTCTTATTTGTGTAGGAGCAATGATTCTGTGGGTCGAATATGCTATGCTGGCCTGAAACGTTTGACCAGGAAAGGTTATGATTTTCAGGTAAGATGCGCTTAAATCTTATTCAATAATCGTACACCTTGAAGTGTTAAACGGTTGATGTGACCGGAGAATTGAACGATCCTAGATAAGATGTATCAAGAATATAGAAAACAAGTTGAGAGATAAGTTGATAGTGATCAACCAAATTTAAGAGGGGGGGGATCTTTTAGTTTAAAAGAAGCAGAAAGGCAAATGTCTTGATTCAAATAAAGTAGGTCCGTCTCTGGACTAGAGAGCAAACTACTCTCTAAGTATGTTCGGGCCTTAGACTAAGTGGAGTATCTTTTAGCCTTGAATATCTCTTCAATGATGATGATTGTCAATTTCATCATGGGAAAAGCTGAACATGACGGTGAATTTCTGAAACCGCTTTTTGTTAGTATGACATCGAGCTACATCTTGCTCCATCGTGTCTGCCTTCATGCTTGTTACCTGGTCAATATTGATCCGAATTTCATTGTGTGGATCCCCCAGTTATTAGGGTACGCAAGGTTCGCCCCCACTGCTGTAGACCCTGTCGATATCTGATGTCGTCGAGTAGTAAAGCACAATGGTATTGCTTGGGGTGCTCGGGTGTCTAGGGGGGTTTTTTCATCTCTTCAAATCAACCGGATCCCGTCCTAAAAGGATCGGCTCGGTGGTCTACACTCTTGTACAGAATTGCATTTGCATTTGCATTTGCCTTGATATCCTTGTGAAAATGTCTCCGACATTTACCGTCGATTGTTACATGGACCGAAACTTTGAATGCTTAATTGTTGATGTTGTTAACTTGTTTGGTTAAGAGCAAACCCGAATACGTTTCATCAGCATATTTTGCTGATAAGGAAAAAGTCTTGGATCTAGGGGAGATGATTATGACGCAGTTGTGCATACATAGTTCCACTAAACCCAATTTTGGAAGGCGTGGAAAGTATGAGTTGGTGGGATGGTGGTGCCATGGCCCATGGTGGGATGGATGGAGATGGAGGGGGTGGGGAGATAACATTATTCTGTCTAGGCCCCTTCAGAGTTCCACTTAACCACGTAAAAGAATTGAGAAAGGAAGAACTTGCTGTGTAATTGGTGCCGATGAGAGCGTACTTCGTACACTGTACAGTCAGATTCAATCTCGATTCTCTACCCGAGGCAACAATCATTATCAAGTCGTTTCTAATTGCAGGGAAATTGATGCCATTCAGACAATCCACTCTACTTCGTAACTTCGTGTGTACCCGTTTCCAAGGCTCTGAAGGCAACGAACAACGGTGGAGACAATTCATTTGCACGGCCACCTACCCAACACAGCCATTGTTCATGGATGAGGCCGAGATGCTCGCATCATCGGTCATGAATCATTAGTTGAAGTCACTTTTTGCTTCGTGGCGGTTGAGCATATTAATTTTTGGGGAAAAAAAGGTCCAATCGATTGCCGCTGTAGAAAATGTGTATCCTTATCAGATCGATTGGCGCTATTACGACAGATCTCTATTCTGTTCTGATGCATCCTTTGGAAGGAGCTTCGATACGCCCCTCGTTTGAGTAGAATCAGTAGGTGGTAATGAAACATAACATGTAACTTTGCATTACAGAGTAGAGAGTCCCAAAGATTGTGCTCTGCACGCGCAGAGGAGAACGTATCCAAAGTCGTGACTCGTGCTTTTTTTACCATGGGATTTGTCCGTAAAATCCAAATTGTCAGACTCAATTATTGTTTTCAATCGTCTCTTGCGCTCTTGGGCTCTTGCAAGGGAAGTGGATATGAAAAGAAAAGTATTTTCCATCTATCCAACCAACCAACATTTCGCCAGCCTCAAGCTAAACTTCATCGGTGAGCGCTTACATACGCACTCGTCTATTTGACCAGTGAAAAGGGATGAAATAGCCCCAATGTACGGAGCGCCATCGTATCAATTAAGTACATTGATAAGGAATTCCTTCAAATCACAAATATTTCTCACATCCGTAAGAAATCCTCCAATCCGAATGAACTATTCGACACCGTTTCCTAACTATCAAATTTGGCCGAAAAACAACGCCGTTCCTTGAGGATGTTTTGATTAGTTGCATTTTGCCAAGGAAGTATCTGTAGATGAATTATCAAAAGTTGTTGCGGCTTATGTTTTCACGAGTTACACAAGCAAGTTGCTTTCTTTTCTTGTTTATGAACACTTTTTCTCTCATTCCCCCCCCTATTGTTTTTTGAAACTATACTCCATGGTTTGACATGTGAACGTGCTTTTTGGCCCACCAACTCACTCCCACGTTGAGACATAATGGGAAGAAAGCGGGCTTTTGAGGACCCAATATACCCAGAACCTGCATTGCATATGCATTTGAAATTTCAACAGAGGTACTTGTCGACATTTCAACATCAGCAGCATCATCATACATGATCAATATTCAAACAATCAAGACATTCACATTAACTTTTCAGGGATAAATGGGTCTTTCCACATGTGCTTCGTGCTCACGTATTCGAATTCCACATGCACATATTGATGCTAAAAAGGGTGTCAGTTGTTGTCAGCTTTCCGTGTCACCTATTTTCGTTAACATGCATCCATCAGGGGAATCCTAGGTGACGACGGAACAACGAAAATAACGCAAAAACTACGTCAGTTCAATGTCAAACGGAAACAACTGAAGCTGCGTGGATTTAAGGAAAACGACCAATGAACTGCCGAGGAGCCACTATTCTCCATTCGGCTTACGGCAAGTGCCTGAGAATTCATCTACTGACAAACAACACGTTCTCTTGAATTTCAACTTAGGAAAGTTCAATAGTTGTGATTACTTTTCAATCCTCCTCTCCAAACTTCTCCACAAATTTCCAACCGGCCAGGATAAAATTATCTGGGGAAACCCTCAAACCCATGAAATCAATTACCTGACACGGCGACTTGCAGAAAAATCAGTGGAGCTGGAAAATACGAGTCAGTATTGAAATGTAACGCAAATTTTGAAGCATCCTTGTATCAACTGAACATCCCCAGGTTTTACCCCTCGCAGTGTTCTGGTGGGCTATTGCGGGACTGATAAATTTTGAAGAACAGTCTCATTTCCATTCAAGTTGAGATGAAATGTGATGATATCTACAATCGGCAAGTTCGGCAAACTCTAAATTCATTAAGGAAGATTAGTGTCATAGATTCGGGTGACTCCAACGAGACTGCTGGATGCACACCTGCCTTCAGTAAAGGTATGGTGGTCTCCAGAGGAACTTGTACTAGTGACAATTGTACCTACCGTATGATGGATCTGCTTGAGCTAAAGACCAAGGAGGAAAAGTTAGTGATCGAGATGATCCGGGGTACTCCGCATTTCCGTGCTCGTGGAAGACTCTCCCTCTTAGATAAATTGGGAAACCCGAGCGTGGCATGGATCACCGAGAACCAGTCGAGAACAAAAATGGGCAGTGGGCATGCCTCGATATCTATGGGCAAGCTATGTAGTTTGGGGTATGCTGTTTTGAACTATTAGCGATTAGAGTCTGTCAACCTACTGGAATAAAGTTATACAACTATTTAAAATGGCAGGCTGTTGTTATTCACAGCTGATCTGGATATGCAGAATGTTTTCATTACTTATTTTGATGTCTGCAACAGCCTTTGATTGCTTTAAGTACAGAGCTGGCTGCAACATCTCCATGCTGTTTTTGCTGTAATTTGGACGTATGGAAATTACCATATTGAAACATCTCAAAGAACTACACTATTTTCTGAAGCAAGCCACTAATGTTTTCGGACCCTTATTATGGCCCGGTAATATGATTCTGAATGATCAATGAGTGTATACTGTAAGAGGTCAGAAAGTGGTAGAGGTCAGGGCAATCCTGCGCACAAATAATAGATAGGGTCTAATAGACTACATAAAGCAGGCAGAAACAACAGAAGCAAAGGCTATGAAAGTTCGCACGTAAAAAACCCATTGATCAAACAAGAAGGTAGAATAGGAGTCTTTAATTTTAAACTACACAAAGAAGGTCTATAGATACCCCCTAGCAACAGAAGCAAACATAATACCACGTGATCAGATAGTCTTTTTTTGCTCTCAATATTTGCCCTTCTTCAAACATTTCATTTCCTGTTCACCATCTTCTGGACAAAATTCCCTGAAATTAAAGTTCGTAATATTGATTCCTATAATTCCAAGCATACACATATCGATCTGTCCAACTTTGAATAAGCAGCACTCGCTTCTATCGTCTTCAAAGCAGCCTTTCATTTGATCTCAATGTCCATCTATATCCACGATATCTCCAGCTTGTTCCGCCGCCCTTTCTCACTTCAAAAAGGCTTGATCATTTAGTGCTTCTAGTAATCGATAAAAACGTAGAATCAATTGAAATCCCGAAGTTGAAAACCGGATAACGCAGGCGTACATAGCATAGCCTTGTTTAGCAGCCATACTCGGGTGATCTTGTCAACGTCAGTGGAACCAAGACAGTAGGATCTCCCAATTCATGATATGCACTGTGTGTGCAACTCTTCGTCCCATTTTGGCTCTTTGGCCACTCCCTTAGCCACTCCCTGGGCTCTGGCATCTGGCCTGGAGGTTGTAGTGGATAGAAGTGTATTCAGAGAGTCTCATGCTGCATATGGGTGCATCTGAAGGTGGCGATTTATGAAAATACAGAAACTTCAATCCCTAAATACCCAAAATTTACCTAGTCCAACCCTCCTCTATTTCTTGCCCAAAAATAGCCCTGAAAATCTCGTTAGAGAGCGGTATCTTATAGATGGGTAAAGTGCAAATCTCTTTCTCGAGAGCCCATATCACCAGTGGGTGTGCGGTTTGATCTGACATTGCGAAAATTGACTTAACAATATCTCTTTAAAATTCTATCTGAAAATTAATCCTAGATCAAATAATCAAGTGATAAATCCTGATATACAACAATCACAAAATAATTTGCTACAAATATTGAATGATGGAAAGTGTCCTATCAGTCTGTGTACCCACCCGCGTGCCAATGGTCTGTTCCAATCATGCAATGGATGAGACATTGTAAGTATCAGGGGAAGCCTCTTAGTTACCTGCCTAGATAGATATAAAGTTAACCAATAATACTCAACAAAATATTCGTATGGAGTGGCCAGCGGGAAAGTTGTTATTCAATGGCGGAATAGTATGTATTTATGGATAATCGGGCGTCAAGAACTTTGAATTTAAGCTTAAGGTTAACCTTATTTCATGGTTCGTGCCAATCAAATACAGGTAGCTTGCATTTCAGATTCGAGCCCGCCTCACACCGAACGAGCCTCATTTCCTCTGGCGTTGTAGTATCTTTCTATACTGGTGCGTATAGCAAGAGCTTTATCGCCGGAATCTTTAATCTATATCCCTGGTTTCAAACAATCAAGTGTGTGAAGTACGGCTTCTCTAGTGGTTATAGAAGTATCCATGTGATGAGTATCAATAGATTCATCAATCATTCCATTTTATTCACACTTAATGGTGACTTGAATTGACGTCATGAGTAGGATGTGATCTACTGTATGTATACAGTCAAGTAGTTTCGAGCGAATATCAATAGTACTGCCATACTAAGTTTCTCGCAGCCGTATCGGAACGATTCAAAGGTGTCAAGTATGATTCCCTAAAGAACCATGAAATACAAAGCAAATGTCAGTGATGAAACCCTAGATAGACCAACCCATTATCAAAGATGCTAGGCAGTGACAAGTTGTTTTTAAAAAGGACAGAGTGGATCAGGGGAATAGGCATACAGTTCCAATCCACTGCAGTAGGAGATAGGTCTCTAAAGAATTTCTCTCAGACACTCTAGCCTCTTCTAAGGACACTAAACATAAACGATTTTCGGTTATTAACTTTACAGTACCCTTCTTTCTACATAGGAACAACTTATCACTTTGCTGATGGTTTCATTAACATCCATCAGCTGGTCTATTAAGAACATTACATCCAAATTGTCTATTCAAAATCCTACATCCAACTTTCGGAAAAGCCGAGAGAATTCAGCAAAGCTCAGCACAACGAAACTGTCAGCCTTAAGCACCAAATAGTCATCATGGAACCGAGCATGAGAATCTTGTGAACATTTTCACCACTAGCTACCATCGGAACAACCTCTGACATCTACAAGTTCCTCAAGAAGTCCAATACCGGATTTCTCAGATTTCTCAGATTCCCCGTAGCTGTTTTCTTCCCAGCAGTATTCATCTACGCCTACTGCACCTAGGCAGATTCTCTCACTCTCAGCGACATCCAAATGTTTCTCAACCTGATGAGACAACTAGCCAACATCCTCGTACAACTCGCCTTACAATTATTTTGGGCGACATCTTCCGTAAAAGCACTCTTGTTTGAGAGCCTTTTAATGACCCGTTTTATCGAAATGGCTGGTTCTCTCATACTTCATCCTCCCCAGGAGAACGAACAGGCTATCAAAAAATTCTCTATTACTCTTTTTTTTGGTGCACTGGGCATTCTTGCTTGTATTCATGATTGGGGGGTGTATTCTGATGATTTTGGCAAATGTCGGCGACCACTTTGTATCTTGTGTGAACCACGGTATAAATATCCCGATCGGCATTGGCGTATTAGTGAGCATAGATTGTTTTAATCATTTTTCTTCAAAGTTGGATTTTTATACTGATTTGTTTGATGAATAGTCAATATGTGTGAAATTCGGGCTCAAACATGCTGGAGTCAATACACCTAGCCTCAATAGAGCGGCACTTAATGCATCTAATACCAACCAAAAGTAATACGCTTTGCAGTATTATACAACGATGCGTGTTTCGGCGTCGATAGTTGGTAACTCGTTTTGGGGCAAGTAACACGGGGCTTCTTGACTGGGAAGGAGTTGCGAGGGAAAGCATAGATGGGCGAAATGTTTTCCTGGAAGGGACAATGAGATTTGAACGATTCGATCTCCTCTCAGAATGTATCAGATTTGGTTGTTGGATATGATTGGGATTAGTATACTCCTCTGTTGCTACAGGTCCTACATAGTATCATCCACAATCTACTTCCTGTTTATTCCTGAACCATATTACTACTAGTGACCAGAATAATGTTCAATCATTTTTATTACAGCACAGTGAACCTTGTGAAATATCAAAACTTCACTATATTTCATTTCAAAATAATATTATAACATTTAATATTACAGCACAAAGAAACTTTGATTCGAAAGATCTGTAGAAGACTAGCTCCTGTGTATGTGCATGAGTGTGTGAGAATATTTACCTAATATCACCTAGGAATACTGGTAAAGAAGAATGGGATTGCCTAGATTTCCACTTTTACACAATAATTCAAACCTTTTCTCCTTGTAGCATCAAGCTCTACTGCAACTGGCGGTAGACGAGGGTATGAATTAGAGGTGGATGTGGGGGCAGAGGACAGGAAACAGAAAAGCTGACGAACGTCTTACGATTTTGCCGCGAGTCCACTGCCGATCTCATAAGTCATAAAACCAGAGGTTACGAAGCAGAAGGAAACCACAAGCAGAAGAAATAATTATTTATAGAAAGACAGATATATAGTAAAAGCATTATTGCAAAGGGGATACTGGTGCGACAGGAGGTGCTGGTTAAATAATCCGAAGATTCTCAATTCGGCAGATCTTTATTGTTTCTTGCACTACCTGAGCTTGTATCCTGCCTATAGCATCGAAAAACGCCTCTAGATCTCCTCAATTCAGTATATGTATCATTGGGAAGATTTTGAATGCTGCTGCTATCCAACGACAACGGCATGTGACAAACGGCTTTGGCCCGATCCCAGCAGCCATAACATTTCCTGGGGTAGCCACCATTCGGCCTCATATACAGATGCACAAGAGGATTGTCCGCTGACTGGTGATCGAGCTACTTAAGTCATCTCTTGATATCTATCAATTTTCCGTTTGTGAAGGTACCGAGCCAGTGGAGGGATAGGGGTCAGCCGATGGTTGTAGGGATGGATATCCACAGAGCATCTTTTATGATATTACTTAAAGTTATCAATGAATGAAATTGAGTCCCATCATAGAATACACTGCCCAGTAACAAACATCAATAATAACTGATATGCCACTTATCTTGGGGACCTCGATGATGACACTGCATCTCATCATCTTGACGGGATTTCATTTGCGGGGCCATCTGTTGAGAATTCCATAGGAACCACCAATGTGCATGCAAGTGGTCTTTTATAATCTGAAATGTATGAATCAAGATTCATGAAAGACGATATGAGAGATTACTCGCAGGTATGCATGTGGAGATATGATAGAAAGGCTCTTTTCATGGAGAGCATTCGAGAGCCTCAATTTTATGCCCAGACCAGAGTCACAGCATGAACGAAATAGCCTGCCCACAAGAACGAAATCCTAAGAAACTAAACCTGAAGGACCATTTGATCAAAAAATCTAAGTTGAAACATTGAAAAGTTTTCAGATGTCAAGTCTGAACTGGAATTTTGAGAAATTTGAATTTGGTGTGAGAATCATGTCGGTCGTCATGTGTTGGTGCTGAATTAGGGGCTTGATAGACTGGAGAAATGGGGAAACGACGCTAATAATGACCCTGAACTTTTGCTCAAGCAAATTGATGTCTCGCTCCTTGACAACCTTCATCAACAAGAGCTACTTAGTTCAAGGATTCTCAATCACAAGAGCCATTAATATGAAATTGAATCGTAAGGTAAAGAGATATATCCTCAATCTTGCGGTAAGTGAGCATGTAAGTGTACCTACCTCTTAATCAATAATGTGGGGTTTTATTATCTTCGCTTTATGCTGTGTGCTGCATTGTTCATTAATTAATGATCTTCTCCAACCCCTAAACATACCACTAAATTTCTTACCATCTGCCTCATACTCAATTCTATTACTGTCCGCTTGAACCAAGACGAAATCGATACAGAAGTTGTACACGAAAATACAATGGATTCCGATTCTTCTGCTCCCTCGACTTCATATCCAGTTATCGACTCTCACATCCACCTCTTCCCCGAGAGCGAGCTCGATACCCTTGCTTGGAATACTCCTTCAAATCCTTTATACAAACAACAGTCTCTCGATGAATACACAGCTGCTACATCTTCTGCTCCTTCACTAGAAGGTTTTATCTTTCTTGAGACAGACCGCAAGAATGATCTGAAAGGCGGGGAAGAAGATGGTTCGGGATGGGAAATGCCACTCAAAGAGGTGTCTTGGCTTAAACGAATAGCATTAGGTCAACCTCGTGAAGGAGAAGGACACACTGCGGAACATGCAAAGCTTTGTAAAGCCATTATACCATGGGCGCCAGTACCGAGTGGAGAGAAGGCGTTGGAGAGATATGTAAAGGAGGTTGAGAGGGAGGCGGAAGGGAGTTGGGGGTTAGTGAAGGGGTTTAGATATTTGGTGCAGGATAAGGAAAAGGGGACTATGCTTACAGCGGGATTCATAGAGGGTTTGAAGTGGCTGGGAAAGAAGGGGTTCGTATTTGACTTAGGGGTCGATTTACATTCAGGTGGGAGATGGCAACTAGAGGAGGCAGTCGAGATGATGGAAAAGGCTCATGAGGGAGTTGAGGAAGGAGAAAAAGTCACGGTTATTATAAGTGAGATCATTCATTTGACTTTTGTGCTACAACATTCGAGCAATGCTAACATTATTCCTTAAAAAGATCACCTCTGCAAACCCGACTTCTCGATCTATAACACTCAAACTGATCCCTCTTTCCTTGCCTGGCGCACCGCCATGTTCAAACTCAGCAAATACAGCAATACATACATGAAGCTCAGCGGATGTTTCTCAGAAATGCCGGATTCTCTGAAGAAAGCCCCTGTAGATGAAATCGTCATGGCACTACAACCATATTTAGCAGTGGTTCTTGCTACATTTGGTCCTTTCAGAACAATGTTTGGATCTGACTGGCCAGTTTGCACAATTGGGGTTGAGGATGCTTGGGGGAAATGGAGAGATGTGGTTATGAGGTTTTGCTACTTGGCTAGTTTGAGTAAGGAGAATCAGATTATGATTTGGAGTGGTACAGCAATCAAGGCGTATAAGATTGGAGGGGAGCTATGAACGTTGGGCTCTAAATCTCAGGAAGGATGAAGCAAGAGGTAGCATCAGGAGTAAGGGTCTAACTAAGCAAGCGAATATCATTCCATAGTTGGGATTATTGTATTTTGATTCTTCCCAATAAGTCCAGATATTCTAGGAACAGCGATATTGCACGATCCGTTGTCTTCGCAAAATCTACAAAGGGGAGTTGTGCAATGAATGTATCGTATCCACCTTCTTGTTCCAAATTACTGCTCACATTTCGAACCTCAAAAAGGCCCCATTCCGTCCACATTAAATGACCCCGTGTCAGTTTCATTTCCACTTCATTTATCCATTTCAAATATTAATCGACGCCGCCGATGGTCTAGTCTCGTAAACTTTTACCCCGCCATAGCTCGCTTCGGGTCAATAAATCCCTAGTGGGGTCCTCGTTCATTGATACCCCGAATAAACATACCTTGAGGAATCATTGCGACATTCAACCACATCAATAAAAACATACGTTTCCTACTCGCGATCTTCAAATAATCTTGTCGAACCCTCATCTTCTGCTCTCAACTCTAGAATTTAAATACCCCATTCCAAAATGTCACAACCTCCACCCCCCGGCGTCTACGTCCCCGTCCCTACATTCTTTCTCCCCCGCTCTTCTCCCTCCTACTCATCAATCGCCTCACCCCTAGATACCGAAACCCAAGCTGCGCATTCCCTCCACCTTGCTCGTTCGGGCATTAAAGGATTGGTCGTTTTGGGTAGCACGGGGGAAGCAGTACATCTTTCGAACGAAGAGAGATTTACAGTTTTGAAAGGATGCAGAGATGCGTTGGATAAAGAGGGTTTTGGAGATGTAGGTATCATTGCCGGGACAGCGAGTCAGAATATTCAGGAGGTGGTGGAACAATTGGGAGAGGCGAAGAGGGCGGGGAGCGGATGGGGATTGGTGCTTGTACCGGGGTATTTTTCGGGGGCGAGTACACAGGAGGGGATTATTGAGGTGAGTTTCTTTTTGCTATGTGGGAATGATGGAGAGGTTATTGCGGGGGAAATCATCGCACCCAGGTGAACAATCACTCATTAATTCTTCGCGCAAAATAGTGGTTCAAAGCGGTCGCAGACCAAAGTCCCATCCCAGTAATGATATACCATTATCCCGGCGTCTCGAACTCTGTGCGCGTTACTCCTCAAACCTTTACCACACTCGCTGCGCACCCCAATATCGTCGGTTGCAAACTCTCTCATGGAGATATTTCATATCATGCGCAAATAGCACTTTCTCCTCATATTGACCATTCGCATTTCCATACTTTTACGGGACTGGGTCAACAATTGTTGCCGGTGATGAGTATTGGATGTAAGGGAACTATTGATGGCAGTGCGGGATTCTTTCCAAAGAGTGTGGTTAGACTTTATGAATTGAGTGTTAAGGATAATGTTACGGCGGAAGAGAAGAAGGAGAGAGGATTGTTGCAGTGGAAGTTGAGTGGTGTGGAGGAGATTGTGGTGAAGTATGGGACGGTGGGTATTAAGGAATGCGTCTCTAGGATACTGGGAATGGGAGAGAAAGATGGAACGAGGTTACCTCTTACAGGGGGCATTCCTGGAGGAGATGCGGAGTGGGAGAAGTGGAGGGGAGTTATTGGGGAGTTGGAGGAGGTAGAAAAGAGTTTGTAGATTGGACGTGGTTGCTTCCGATGCTTGCGATGCTATGATTTATTCTTGGAAGGGGGTTCTCCTGAGTATAGTTTGCGTAGATACAAATGTATTTGAATAAATAAAAAATTCAATCATGTCAAATGGAAGCAGAGGCATGATCTCACTACTCATCACGAAGCATTTTTTTTCGCCATATGGAAATCAATCCATCACTAATCATAAAGAAAATAATGGTACTCAGAATTGTGTTCCTAGAGAAAGTTTTTAAAGAAAATAATCTAAGACTCAAATCTAAACGCACAACGAACCCAGCAAGTATATCCTAACTTCATCCTCCTCTGCGGAAATACTCACATCACCATATCGTGTTCTCGGAACAGTAGATTCTCCCTTCCAGAGAAAGTATCCACGCAAGCAAGCAAAGAAAGAGAGAGAAAAGGAATGAGTAAGGATGGAAGGAAGTTTCTACACGAATAAAAATCGATGCAGCTCGAGGGCTGAAGCTGGCTTTGGGTTGTAGACATCTCCTCCTGGAGTAAAGACGGCTATCGTGTGTAAAGAAATCGAGAGACTAAGCTGTTGCGGTCACGGTTGTGAAAGTAGTGGTTGTGGTAATGACAGTGGTGATTTTGACTCCGGAAGCATGAGAAAGAGATGAAGCATTGGTTTCTTTGTCGCAAGACTTCGAAGTCGATTCGACGGGATGCTTCACAGAAGATCCTGCGGGATTCGATCTCGATGCACTAGACGCTTGGGTTGAGGCTGGAGAATTGTTAGTTGGGGATGATAGTATTATATTGCCCAAATTTGATATTGCTGGTGTTGAACTTGGCGATGTTGAAGACGCCAGTGAGTTTGTAGACAAATTTGCAAAAGAAGAAGAAGAAGAGGAGGAGGAGAAGGATGAAGAGACAGGAGAACCAGAACCAGAACCAGAAGGGGAAACAGAGGTATGAAAAGAAGAAGCCAGCACACTGTTTGAAGGGCAAACATACTCGCTATCGCGCTTTTGACGTCTCTCGCGTCTTTCTTCGGACTTGCGCTTCTTGGGTCCAGTATTGAATGGGTACCTGAAGTATCTGATTAGCAAGAAGCCTTTGTGAATGATATGAGTAAACTTACTGAATATTGGCGCAGTTATTAGAACTTGGACACTTCTTGTAAAGTGAAAGTAAACCAGCATCTCCACAAATTTGTTTATCATTGCCAGAGCATGGCATCGTACAGCCTCCTACAAGACCTGCCACTGGATCTCTACCAGCAAGCATCTTATTATCGCAGAAGCATTGGGTAGAATATTCCAAACCGGCAATACTAAAGCCTTTGCTGTTGCAGTAATCAATACATTTTTCAATCGTCATGCCTGAATTATCTTGAAGTGAATCCCTTGGAGAGTTCGAGGTTGACCTGGTGTATCAAAACCACATCCCATGTATGCGAAACTCTTTGACTTCGTAACGTCAGTATAAGGCCACATTGGTGTACCAATGGTGGTGGTAGCACCACATCCACTTTGTGGACTGGCATTTCCAGGGCCGTTTTGGACTTCATTGCAACCGGGAAGCTTGGGCAAAACACCCGAAATTTGCTCGTGAACTGATGGAGGAACTCGACAACCGTTTGCTACCTCGTTGGTTGTGAGTTGAAAGACGGGACATTTTTCTATGACTCCACTTTCATCGGTGCATTCATTAACGGCTCTTTGTAAAGTTGGTACATCCCAGCCATTGACAAAGTCACCGTGAAATCCATAGCCAGTTGGGTCTCCCATAGACCAGACGAATGGTTGCGAATTACCATACCACTAGAGAGTTTATTATTAGCGTTGAAGTCTTGTACGTAAAAGGAAGGCTTGGAGTTCTCTTTCATTTGTGCTGTGTTCAACATAGGGCAATGGAAGTCCACATTTTCACGCAGATAAAAGACGAGAAAGTTGATGCACTTACTTTATCAGCAAAATCAGGAGTATTCCAGAGAATCTCGTAGAAAATAGAGACAAAACGTTTTGGGTGGGTAGACGGACAATTTCCACTATCTTGAAGACTAGGATAGGCCATGTGAGATTTGTGATCAGGAGAATCCAGATTCTTCCCATCCCAGCATGATGGAAAAAAGACTTGTGTTCGGAGTCCGTATGGGCATGGGTAATTTGGGAATCCATTTGTTTGAGGCTTATCAGTACCGAGACAGACATAAGTGACTGCTTGTTGCTCTAGAGAGCTTGCATTGTATGATCGAAGGAATGGATTCCCCGCAACCATACGGAAGCCTTCGGGGAAGGCCAACAGGCCCTTGGAGTACTCGGGATCTAATGGATCGCTTCGCTGCCTAGGAGTCCAGGGTTAGCAATCGTTCAACGTAAGAAGAGGATTGAAAGGTAGACATACAAGTAGTAAACTGTAACACCACCATTTTGGCCGACAGAGATGAAGCTGCCATTTTGAGCTCTGTAATACAAAGTTGGAGTCCAATAATTGGAAAGATCCTGTACTTCGGTCAGCTCAAGACATATATCCATAATGTGTGAAAACTGACCTTCGTGACAGTACAAGAAGTGCAAGTTGATGCTTGGGTAGAAGCATAATTCATAGAGAATCCAAAGCCATTACCACTGTAGGTCAAGAAGGTCAGTACCATGTAGCGGGTAAAATCTTGAAGAAAGTCAAGGAGCCGAGTTGCACTGAACTTACCCCATGATGGTATGAACATGACCAGAGACACTACCTGGAGAGACAACTGGATCAGATCTCTGGACCACAATTGGATTCTGACATGGTAGACGCCAGAATGCCAGCGCAGGATTGACATTGATTGTGAGAAGGCATAAAGCCAACTGGAGCAAGGTGTTTGTTTGCATGCTGGATGTTTGAACTGCAAGAGATGAATTTAATGGGTTGATTTAAAGAGTGTGAGACCAGCTGCTAAGATCAAGATGGTGACGAAGTTTGAAATGATTGAATCGAAAGGAAGTGTCACAGACACAGACTTGTTGGAAAGGTCTGAATTGGAAAGTCCATGTAGACTCAAAGGTATGAGGAGTATTTAAAAGAACTGCCATTGAAAAGTACAATCAGAAGCAAAACAATACTAATCTCTGTAAAACTAACCGAGCCAGTGATAGAAGGTAGTGAGGTATTAATTTTAGTGAAATGTATGAGTTGTTTGGTGAATGATGAAAGTCATTCCACCTCTTGTCGTATTGTCTAAAGGATAGAATAATGCACTTGGCATCATCTCTATTGGTGCTTAGGTTTATTAGATATTAAATTGTTCAATGTGATCTTAAAAAGGGGCCGATAAACAACTCCCGTCAATATCAAGCTTCAACTCTGTTGGTTGAAGTGAAGTCGGAAAGTAATCTTTCTCCATTGCAGCAAGGATATTTCATTGGGGAAATTGTCCAAATATCAACAAAATAAATGAAGTATTCGGGTGGCTCAAACTTCTAAACGGAAACATGTCAAATCCCTAGAGCTACCTAGGTATGTATGCACCGATCCTACTCTTGGTAGTAGATGTCCATTGATGATTTGACACTTTTCGAATCTTGGCAGGTAAAAATGTGTCTCGCCGCAACTATCCGATCTGTGCAACATCAGAGTAAACAGCTAACAATTATCACTTGATTTTGGATTTTTGAACTCATCAGGTTGTCTCGGATGTTTGGCAGGACGATAGAGGAATTCTCAATGGCTACCTAATATCTATCACAGAATTGTCTAAGGGCTCAACATAAGACGAATATCTTCCGAAATTGATTACCGAACGGTCGGTATGTTCCAAGATTCAAGTGATACGATTCTTATTGATGATGCGCGGGTCTCGCCTTCTCGAGGTAGCTAAAGGGGCACAGGGAAAGATTTGAATGTTGGCAAGTCATTCATGGTCTGTCGTTTTCCCTACAATGCTCTGGCAACACCTTGTGATATCTCCTCGCCTGGTACCGGCTTTACAGATATCTCGTATCTTCCCATTGAGAAAAAAAAAACAATAATACGATATTCCAGTAGCTCGTTTCAATATCGTGTGCCCCGGGCCCCTGCTGCCGGTGATGGATGTCACATCATTTGACATCCGTGAGGACGGTAGAATGCCACACACACTGAGTATCCAAGATCTTGCTCAGGACATATGCTGTGCAATTCTGTACGAGATCAAATTGTGTTCAGGCTTATTTCTAGTTCAAATGTTAAAGAGGTGTGATGTGGCATTAACGTTGTGTCGGTATTGTGAGATGTTGTACAGTAAAGGCGACGTCGAAGCCCGTGACGGAGAATTTATGCTGTGGAAGCATTTCCAACCCGCTGCTGTACAATATAAATATCTTCATACATGATTCGTGTTCCATGACTTGGCAGATCTCTGAAATTATGCGAAGTTACAAGCTTATCGCCAGGTTGATGATTTATGATTTACACAACATGATGGGGTTGGAGGCTGACTTCTTCAATAAAAAAAGCCAAGTCTGGGGAAATGATCAAGGACTTTAACCGCGGTGGGGAATCAGCCACCTAGTACTACCTTAGCCGATCTAGTGTTCTGTGTCTTTTTTGACATCCAAACTTCGGACCGAATTACATACAAACAAGATCTCCCAAAAGAATCGTTACCAGTCATCTAACACCTTCAATGCTGCTTCTCAATCAAAAGATCAACAGAATGCAATATGCCATATACACTATACTATTTGAATACGTGGCAACTCAGTATGACCCTCATTGGATATTTACCTATTCCCAACATCCGGGCTTTCTTATGTCATTGGCTTCGAACGCTCCCTTGTCAAAATATCTTCACTTCATAACTTGCATCTATAACTCAATACTATCCGAGTGTAACTCTATGAATTTCATCTGTATCTTATGCCGTTCAAATGCAACTACGCATTATCTGGCTCCTGTCTCGCATGTCGTCTGATACGCAGCTGCAGAAAACCCATCAATCTATCTTCGGCATTGATGCTTTCCGATTCTGCTTCTCATATGTGAATCCGAGATCCATGATTGAACATACATTTCAACCAACCGAAGACGAGGAAGTGAGGCTTAAACTCATTCTTCAACCTGACTTCTGCAATGCTCGACTCAAAAAGTACCTACGTGATGATGGCAGCCAGAAAGATGATTATTACCAATCTACTCCACAATCCTTGAGTCATGCTGTTGATCGAAAGAGGAACTTATTACCCCATCGGACATCCCAGAAACCCAATAACGGAAATTATCCTTGTTGGTAGAGCATACCCCAGATTTTCCCCAGCTTTCAAGAAATACTAGAATCTTTCAGGTGACGAGAAACACATCTCACCTCATGGATATCTCACTGCTTTGCCGAGGAATATCTACGCTTTCATCAGCCATGGATTAATCAAAAGGGCCGAATTTGAAACAAAAATTGAGACTATTGATAACACGAAACTAGATCACATCTTTTACTTTCTCGTCTTTCGCTCTCCCACCATTACTGTCCTCGGGGTTTCTTTTTGCTCTATCGGAACATGTGCCAGGCCGCAAATTCCAACCACGATTAAAAACCAGCAAGCGAGAATCCAATGTCTAGATGTATCCAAGCTCAAGGAGAGTTGAATGGAGATGAATACGAATACGCATACTGGATGTACTGTGATACATCTACACTCACTACCTACTAGGTAGTAATTAAGAAGTGGTGCTACAAAAAGAACAAGGCACCTGTAACAAGACCGTGAAAATGAAAATGATAATCATTGACCTTCTCCATGATACGAAATCACTGATTTTTTAGTCTTTTTGCATTCAGATTCAGATTTGATATATCCATTTCCCATTCCCATTTCCCTACCTAAACTCCTGGTGTGTGAGAATATATAAATACCTATATTCCTTGAACTTTCTTCTACTTCTTTCCGACCTTCTTCCTCTCTTCCCATTTCGCTTTTGCCGCCTCGAGCTCTACCTGTATCCCCTTGCCTTCCCTTGTATTTCAATCCGCAAGCATGTGACGAAATTTCTCTTAATCTTCACAACAACTATTTAATCCTCATTGTACTTTCCACTATCCAACATACCCTTTGCACCTCTCCCACTCCTCCGTCCCCAAACCCTCAATCCCCACTCTGTGATGGTGAATCCCCAATGGCCCGCAACCAACACACCACTCACAACATTGACAACCTTAACCACAAATCTCAAGAATCCATCTCTACTTTCCTCTACTGTCAAAAGAAGCGGCTCAATATCATATTTGAAGAATATACCCGGGACGCTGCGTTCGCCCACAATATGTTCTTGTGACGTAACAGCGTATTGATTTGTGCGTAGAAGGGTGGGAGATGACGAGGGAGAAAATGTCGATGGCGAGAGGGAGTAAAGAGTTGGAACTATGGAGAGAAAGTATTGGTATTTGTGGAAATGGTTGGGTGTGCCGGCGATGGTGCGGTCGAGGGGGTTGAGAAGGGAGGGGTAGAAGGGACCGAATGATAACTCGTTGATTATGTGGGAGAAATTGAATGCTATATTGCGTCAACAGTTATTCAAAACGTTCACAAGTGGAAAAATAAAAGGAATACAAACCACTATGATCCAAATGTTTTCCCATCTCCGGATATCCATGACCCCTTGCAGTGATATGAAAGTCACCCTGCACCTTATTAACCTCCAAACTTCCATAAACCCTACAACTATCACCCCCTTAGGACCACCCTTGACTCTCGGGGTCTTGGCGAACTTCGCCCTCTTCTTCCCTCCTAATACCACGATATCATGAACATGTTCCTCTCCAAATCCCTCCTCATGATATTCCTCTCCGGTAATCACTCTTCCATGGGCATCTTTACCCAATTGATGTATACCCTTTGCATCCACCCATTGTTTCCAATTCGTCGCATCCTCTTTGAGCATTATTCCAGCTAATATGCGATCACCAGCCGCATCTTGTACGTTAATATGGACCTCCGAACATTTCATTTTGATGACCATATCCATGTTTATCTGTAGGGAATGTCCAACACCCTTCTCAACTACGAAGGTGTGGGTTTCGTGGCCAGTCCACCAACGCATGAATTCGGAGACGAGGAGAGCGAAGGACACGAGCATCATGGCGACGGTCCATTTGCCGCCCCCAGAAGTTTGTGTTATGTATTGTGGTTTCGCTTTGGCTTTTGAGGGGGAGTCGAGTTAGCTGATGATCTTCCAAGTTGATTATGTGCTTCAAAATGAACTGGCAATTAAATGCAATTGCAGCCCAATATATGATCGCAAGCAAAAATGTGCACAAGCAAGAGAATAAAACATACGAAAAGCATCAAAAGCCTTCACAATCCCTCCCTTCTCCCCAAATGACCCCTCATCCAACCCATGATCTGAAAATCCATTCATTTTACCAGAGAATCGTTTTACTCGTCCTGCCCGTTTGGAATTCTATTATTTTCCTTTGCGCATACAATTCTCCAAATCAATCTCTCCCTCGTTTGCAATATTCACATGTGCAATCCTCTCGATCCTCTCAATTCGATTAATCCCCAATAAAAAAGTCTCCTTAAAGAACGAGAAACAAGCACGAAAACGAGGCTAAGAATAAGAAGTGAACAGAACCTCAAGAACTAACACAATCCATCGAAAACTTCAGACTTGAAATTCAAGAAAATAAAAGAAGTCTCGAAATTTGGAGATAGTGAGTTCGGTGCTATGAAGATGTGCTCAGGCCTGGAATTGGCAGTTGAAAGCTGTCCTTGAAGTAGTCCGAAGATGTACCGATGGAATATGATTGGTCAATCTAGCTTGATAGTGCAAGGCTGACGAATTCATCGGTAAGGGTTCAGGGTAGAAGTTTTATGGGCTCGTGCAGCGGGTTTTATGTGGTGTCAGTGGAAAGTGCATGAACATGAGGTGGGTGCGGTGTTTTGCAGTCAATTGGCATACAGTAATATGGAAAGGATTATGAGAATTGGTAAATTGATGAATTGACGAATAAGCTATGTGGATACGGAGATAGAGAGAGGGTAATGAGCGGTCCGTTGGATATATATGATTGATTACACATTCGATTGAATCTAGGCTCAGACTTCAAGAAGTAGCATGAGGTATCCGTATCAAAGCTAAGGTGACCTGATGTAAAGCTACGGGTATAATCTGCAAGATCGTCAGATCTGCAAGCTCAAGACCGTCCGCTCACTCCCAAAAAAATTGGTAGAATTCTGACCACTCCAAACAAACAAGCAAGCAAGCACACATGTATAATTGGTTGATTACTAAAGGACATTCGTTTGTTTTTGCATTTCATTACATTGGCTTCCGTCCTCCTTCCTTCATGAACTCCACTCCCAACCACTGGAAGCACAACCATGCTTTATTAAGAACCCATCCCCAACCGTCTCCCCGGCTTCTCTCTTCTCCCGTTCTTCCTCTCGTTCTCCTCAAACTATGCCATAGGCATAGTTCCTCCCCCAAACCCCAACCCATCCCGTCGTCATAATATTAAAATACTTATGTAAAAAACCCCAAGCTTTTTGCATAACATGATATGTGAGTCGTCCATCCCATTGTGCATTAAAGACCCCAATTCATTCGTAGAAGGAGTAGAAAAGAAACGCGCGCAAATAGAGAAAAAAGAAAATACGAAAAATGATGTCCCAAGCAAATGTACAACATACAAGATTCCGTCCCATCCCCTTCATGGTGCTGTGGAACGCGTCATTCGTTGAATCTATTCAATCGCTTTCAAACCCACACCCCTCCATCATACCTCATGCCCCGAAAGACTCGCGAGGTCAAATCCATTTGAAAAATTCAACTTCTTCCGCACGTTCATGCAGGCCTTTAACTAGTAGCAGTCTTGGACCCCTTGACCGCTAGCCCAACACCCAGGCCGACTCCCAACGCAATGGCCAGGATAATAATGAGCGTAACCAACAAGCACCACCACTTGAGTCTGTTTCTACGACGTGCATGTTCATTCGCCTTGTCAATTTGAACATTTGCTTTGTCGACATCTTCAGCGGTTTTGATGGCGTTTTGTTCGGTATGTTCGACAACTGGATCTTGAGCTTCGACTATTTGGGCCATATCGGCGAACATAGCTGCCAGATCGGTGAGAGTAGCTTCAATACGTTGGAGTTCGTTGTGACGAGCACGAACAGCTCCGAGAACTGAAGATGCTTGTCCAGATCGATTGGATTTGAGCTAAATAGTTTGTTAGAATGGTTTTAGAGGTGTAAAATTGAATTTTGAGAGTGTAAACTGGCAGTGAGACCCAAAATTAAAGTGGGATAAAACATACAGCAGTTTGGAAGACACCTTCCGAACCCCAATCCATCTGACTAGCTTCCTCGACCTCCGCCTCCGTAGCTTCAGGGTTAACGATACGATACTGTCTTCCAATTTGGCGTCTATATTCGTTTCTATAATTCAACTCCTCTTCCCTATACTGCTGCAGCTGATTTTCAAATTCCGTCTTCAACTTCTTAGCTTGCGTACTCTTGATATTCTTGGTCCCATCTTGAGTCTTGATCGCATCACCTTCCAAATACTTGATTTGGTCACGAATTTGAGTGTTTTTGAGCTGGGTTTGTGTTACAAGATTTTCGAGGGAGGCGGTGGAGGAAGAATCGGGGGAAGAGAGGGCGCGTTGGTGGAGAGTGGCAATTTGGGAGATATTAGAGGATAGAGAACGAATTTCGGATTTGGCAAAGTCAACGCGATCGAGGAAAGCTTGTTGACTAAGGACGTTGTTACTTGGAGGTGGAATGGCGCCGGGTGTACCGGAGGAATAGTTGGATCCTTGGGAGTAGTTTGACATTTCGTGGGAAAGCCCTGGCTGGCCTGCATTGTTCTATCATGGCGTTAGTATTTCTAAATTAATTTTGCGTATGTATGTGATGATGATAACGATAATGAAGAGAGGATGGGTATGAAATTGAATTTTGCTTACACCTCCATAGCCGGCTTCAGCAGCACCCGAATTTTGATATGGATTTCCACCCATACCTTGATATTGTTGAGTGTACGACATTTTGATTGAATCAATTGATGCAAAATATCAATACTGTGATTTCAATTGTTTGCGATCAAAATGATAAGAAAGGATTTCGGTAGACGGTGTGTGGTTATCGGAAGGAAGGAAGAAGGAATGGATTTGTTGTTGTTGTTGTTGTTGTAGTTGTAGTTAAGAGAAAAGGTTAAAAAGACCCGGGGTCGAATAATCGAATGACGTTAGGTGGAAATATGGCCTTGTTAGTTCTATGTAAGAAGAAAAAGCCGGGGAAAGCGAAATTAAAATCAAATCTTTATTTTGATCTCCAAGAAAATTTGAAGAAAAGAAGGATTTTTTTATTTTTTTCAAATTACAATCTCAGATAATTGTAGGTTTGTATATTATACTGGAAGATGGACGTGAGGTGAATGGAGAATGGAAATGGAATTCTTTCCCTCCAGTATTGAATGGATGTTGTATGAGAGAGATTGGAATCAATCAAAAGCAAAGTGTGAGATTAGGTGTGACTGTATGAGATTGAGTTATGAGTGGAGTAAGATATCAGTAGTCCTATTGGATATCAAAACAACAACTTCTATTCATCGATGGCGGGCTTGACGATGAGTACCGAGAGAACTGGTGAAAAGTGGTAGAGTGATTGATTGGTATCTCTTTTCTTTATTATGTAGTTCGTACCATTGACTTCAGAGATGGGATGAGGGGATGTCGCTTTCATTGTCTAAGCGAACGTTTGAAGGCTGTGCTATGTATGTATGTCTGGTCTGTATGTATGTATGTATGTATGTATGCATGTACATGAACGGAGTAAGTGATGTGTCAATGGGTCGATCGGGTCAATCAGGCCAACCAATATTGTATGAAGAATTGAATATGCGATGCTTCTTTTTGCCTTCCTATCTTGATGGACTTGTCATAGAAGAATGCTATCATCAATACCGAATACCTAGTAATTACAAAGGCATCTAGACAGATACACTTGGCAAAATATCCATACCTACCATACAATTACAAATGCCGATGCACCTATCTATCGGCTTCATCTGAGACCGAATATCGACTTGCATTTGTACGCGTATTTATAGCTGCTGCGCATTCCACCGTCTCGCTGTATTGATGCCTATCCTGCTGAGCCTCACTGTCTCAACTGTATCGTATAATAAGCCTTTTACTTACATACATAATATGCCCATCATCTCCTGATTCGCATTCACGCCACCAATAGTAGGTTTTGCACGGAACTTTTTGCCATCTCGTATAATCATCATTTTTGAGATACAAATTTCTGCTCGCCATCAATATAAGACGAGTTGCGGAACCCGAGTTTCGCTGATGGGAGTTGTGGTGTCTCGAAAGTGCTCAAAGAGGTGGGGTTCGCCCCTCTAGAGAGATCTGAGTTCATGCACTTCTTCCTTTGCATTTTTGGTAGACATTTTTCGCTCTCCTGTTGCTCTCCAGCTTGCCTCACTCTCTAAGTTGAAAGCAGCAGGTTGTTGGAAGTACCTCATTACATATGATTTATGGTGCTTTTGTTACAGAATGGTACATTCCAGTGTTCTCTTTTTTTTAACCGATGATACTCCGAATTCGTCAGCCAATGAGTAGTCTCGCTCGATAATATCACGTGATCATTTCTTTTTCCTTGGTTTGTTGCACATCTCAAGACTGTCGTTCACAATTCTTGGGGTTCGTCCATCAGTGGGTGGGTGCGTGGGTGCATGGATTGACGGGACACTTCCCAACTAGCGAGATTTATAACGAATTCATTCTTCGATTGTTTGATATCAAAAATTTATATTTGATTGTCTCATCTCAAATGAATGATTGTAACAATTCCTGAAATATAAATACAAGTTGATATATCAAGAGATATCCACAAGTCCTTTTTTATAGTGTCCCATTAGTCCCTACACCCACTGGTGGGTTAAACAATCCAATATAGAATAGTATTCCTTTTTTATCCGAAGAGAGCGGAATTACAATACCTTTTACTTTATATACTTTGTATATACGCTTTACGAAGTCTGCCCAACAGGTAATGTGCACTAGATAGTGTTGGAATCCGTAGCACTGTATAAATATTTAAACCATCGAATATCTATTATCTAATGTCTAACCCATCAAAACTACTAAACTATTGGATACAGAAACCATCGTGGCTATTGAAGCAACAAACCAAGACTCCTAAGCACCGTCATAGTAGCCAAACAGCCCTAATAGCATAACCTAAGCCCTGATCACGCTTAGTTCGCACACCTCTTCTAACTCTCGAAACACAGCTTCTGTCTGGAACACGTACTGGATGGCTTCTTCTCCATCTACATGCATGACGTTGTTCAGTGTGATCTCTCGCCAATCTCTAAGACCAGAAATGGCGTCATTGTCTCCCTTTGCAATGGGAGCGATGATTAGTGCATGACTGTGTATCTTAGCCATGGTACCTCGCAAGTTGTTACCTCCTCTACAGGTATACACAATCTGCTTCCACAGATCTCCGAATGAACAAATGTACGGGGGGAGAGCCTCTATGAAAGAATTCGGTACATTCATCTGTATCATCAAGACTGGGGATGATGTTCGGTTTCGGGCATAATCGCGATATACTTTTGCGACACTGAGGCTCGAAGTGAAGTAGAGTGGAGCAAAGACCCTTCCTCTAAAATCCGTTGGCGGTAAGTTTGTGAGAGATTCGATATCCATACTTCCATCCGGTAAGTACCCAACTCGGGTGCTTGAAATAGCCTTGAAGAGTATCGTATGTCCCGGTACGGTTGATGACGGCGCTCTTGCAACCGCAGCTCGTATCTCAGACCCACCATCATTGGTGCCATTTCTTCTCTTCTCGTCCCTTCTGGCACTATTCTTTTGTAGCCCCTCAAGACCTAAGTATCGAATACTCATTGTATCGCGGACCCAATATTGGATCGTTTCTGTTGCCCTTACATCTTCAAATTCACTTGCCATTATGCAGTTGATTAGCTCAGCCGCCAATCCCCAGAGCTCCATTTGCTCAATAGACGCCTCCCTGTCATTTAATATGTTGACCTCCGGAACGTATTTTTCAAGTACAAAGTCTAAAAACTCCATCTCAAAAATAACCTCTCGCCCATCTTCTGTCTCAGCTTCTTTGATCTCTCGCCATCTTCTCCAAATTTCTCCAGCTTTTTGTTGTCCCCACCCGAGATATATCAGTGTCTCCGGAGACACAAGCAGATCTGGAACTATCTGCGTATCTTCTGACCCGCTCGAGCTTGAGATATACTCCTCAGACAGTAGATGCGATGACACTTCACGTCTTCTTCCATGCGCTGGCTTCAGGTGACCCGCTCTCGTGAGAGCATCTGCATCGGTAGGTTGAAATATTGGTGACATAGCAGCATCAGCTGTGTCAGGAGGTATCGCGGTCATTTTGTTATATGTATTGTTGTTCAAAGGCTGTCTTCTTGAAAGCACAGATGAAAGTTTCGTTAGAGACGAAGTATGAGGATGTAATTGTGATGGAACCTGGATAGAATTCTGAGAGGGATTGTCCAATTTATACACTTGGGAGAAAATCTAAGGTCGAGGTTTGGCGTGGGACTTAGGTCTATCACGCGCTTCGTTGATTAGATTCACCATAGAATAGAGGGGTCCAGAAAGGGATCATAACAAGTCTAGGTATGATTCACAACATAGATTATTGATTTAGATTGTCTGCTTTCATCGAAAGAGGAATATGATCTGCGGGAGAATTAATTTAAATGTGATTCATAACAAATAGTTTCATTAGGTACGTTCATGTACTTCCATCAATGGAGAATTATGACGTGCGGAGTGACTGATTTATTAATAGGTATGCTTGGGGGGTGGGGTGTTTGATCTAGCCCTAGACTAAGATCTGGAAATCTGCATCTAATTGGATCTAGTTGGATCTAATTGGATGGATCTGCAAAACTGAAGTTAACTTGACAGACAACGTTGGAATAACTTTTTAGTCTTAAAATTAAGCATGAAACTTTATCTTCCGTTTTCTCAATGTTTCTACCTGCCAATACTCTCATCAGGCTAGTCTATACATGGCTTGGCTTGGATTCAAGTGGTTTGACAGCATTTGCCATGAAATCTCTTAAGGACCTGGCAGTTTAGATCTCTGTCAAGCAATGACATTGGCTAAATGATCAGTATGTAGGTGGCCACAAGATCGAGCCTATGCCCTCATTGGCTTTTCCAGTGATGGTTCAAAATTAGTTCCAATAACCGATTATGAAAAAACATTAGAAGAGATTTTGTGCGATTTACTTTTGCTCGAAGGAAAGGCTCTCTCGATGTTTTATTAACTCGGTCTGATAAATTCAGGTCTCAAGAGTTATTCTTACCTTCTTGGACCCTTAACTGGATATCCTCATCATGCTGGGAAAGCGCAGACAAGATTAAGCGCATAGCGAATGTCGATTTTGGACATGAAATGTAAAGGTTGCACACTTGAAGCTTCGATGGAAAATGTTTGAATCTCATGGGAACACAAGTGGACACTGTTCAAGATACTGCATGGACAACAAACTCACAAATGAGTCTGACTCCTGCCCACACTTTCAACATGCTGATCATTTGCAAGTCAAAAACCCAAACTGTAGCAAAGCTCAGATATTGAGTTCGTTGTCTATTTGTTTTTTTCAATAATATTCCGCACATGAAGATGAAACCATATTAAGACTTCTTTGGTACCCATATATTTGCGTTCAGATGAAAAAGATTCTCAAGGGAAGAACATCATCCCAAGATATCGAATCTTGGTCAAAGCATGCCTCAAAGCCATCCCTAATACACGGAAACAACTTGGATCAATGGGCCCCCTATAGCAAAAAGGAAATTTGGAAGGATCGGCACTTCAGTTGGTATTTTCGACACCCTAAACTCACATATTTTTTGATCATCTTCACGAGAGTTGCGGCCATTGTTCTACATGCTTCACATTACAATCCGAAGTTTGATGCATTGGGCATAACAAGACTCATTTGGGTCATCTTATTACTCTTCTCGATTGATGTTTTCACTATGCAGCTCACTTTAGGATCCACTACGAGATAGGGGGTATGTAAACAGGAAAATTATCATAAGCTATGTTTCTATCAAGAATTATCTATAAAGGCACGGAATTACAAACCCATAGCTGCTCTGACAAATTCGAGATCCAAGCAAGTTCTGAGAGCTTTACACCAATTAAAGTAGCATGGGAATATTGCGTGGTTCGATATGGACAGAATCTCAGTGAGATGGGGACGACGGTATATTATTTAATCCAGAATGTCCGAAAATCCGTACTGCGGCCCAACACCCAGAGTTTCTCACTCTCCAAATGTAACTTAAACCCTAAGAGGGGTTTCGATTCCTGACCACAACTAGACCATTCAAATCGTTTGTCTACATGTTATTAGCCTTTTACCGATAGAATCAAGACAAAGCCTCAGCGGAAAATTTGAGATCAAAGGCTATGGAATAGACTCGGCAAGCTGTCATGAAAGCTTATTACGCTAAGCTTGTGCAAACACGAAGAGATGATCCTGTTTCGCAAAGCAGCATACAGTCAAGCAAAAAGTGTATCAACCGAATACAAGACCGCTATTGAGGCTAGAAAGGATGCTCGAACTGAGTAAGAAAAGAATCCGAAGGGACAAATGTCAAATTTCTGTAGAGATCGGAGAGCAAGCTGGCCCAAATAGATGAAAAAAGAAAAATAGTTGCGGATCTAACGTTGAAAGCCAGGACGTTGCTGAAAGCAAACTAAATAACCGGAGAAAATGGCGGGCTGTAACCCAGAAAGTAGCTCAACAAGCAAATAATAGAGAACATGCGAAGAAGTGCAAGCCCAAACAAGTTGCGCGAAGAGAGCAAGATTGGAACGCAATATACAAGATCCTATAGAAGCAGCTCAGGATAGAGGCATGAAGAATGTGCTAATATCAAGAAGAAAGAAAAGCGAGAAACACAAGCAGATCTCGTTCTCGCAGCTAGAAATGCCAACCGCACGAAAGCCGAGAGAGCTTCCAAAAAAACAGCCAAAGATTCTGAGGAATAAAGGGGTTCAATCACTCATGTAGCATTCACTCAATTTAACTTCACAGCCATCTGCATTGAGCAAATCCTACTAGGTATTTTCCATCATCTCGGCTTTAACAAACCATGCATAGTTAGCAATACAATGTACCATCGCAGCTGGAAACAATGCTCGGAAACCGCGTATTTTCCGCACCCTAAATCCATTCCGGAAATACACATACAGTGTCATCAAAACTAAATTTAGCCCCTAAATATCTTCAAGCTACCGATCCTTCCTTGCCCTTCATTCCGGACTCCGGAATCCGGGGCTGAAAATCCTACATCGTATCGGATTCCTCGTGTTAGCACTCCTTTACATTATTAAAACTTTAAAGATTCCTACCCGCCCATCGTCTAAGATCATCTCCAGGGTCCGATTTAAACGAGAAATCACACGGCTTCGTTCCGAGATCTTTTAGCGGGGCGAATGACATTCTTCATGGAAAATTAGGAAATAAATGGATAGCCCTAGATGCGGATCCTGCTACTCTGTTCTCCACTTTGTTGTTTCTCCGTCATTTCCACGATTTCCACCTTTGCCGCTTCGTCACATTCACATTCACACTTACAGTGGTGGTTTGTGGATACTAATTGGAATGTTGGGTGATGTGAAGATCTGGTGATATTCAGGCGGTTTGGTGGGTACGCTTGGGGCGGCGAAAGTTATGAGGATGCTAGATTTTGAGGGATTTTGGGATTTTCGGGGCCTATCAACTGAACGCGTGTTAGATATTCGTAGTGCTTGGTATACTCAGAGGGTTGGGAAAATTCACAGGATTGAAGGGGTTCGAGAGATGATGGATCCTAATACAATTTTAAACCTTTTGAGTCTATCGGACGCTATGCAATCATGTGTGTTCATGGTACCTCACATCCCCAGATGATTATGAACTTTCATACGATGGATGGCAAAAATTGACCGAGTGTAAAAGTAAATACCTGTGCATCTATTGTGCGGTATTGTGCGATATTTCAACCTCTCACGAAAATATGACCTATCCTATACTGTGTTATGCACCAGGGATATTCGTCCTTAACTCCCAAGAAGTGTAAGATGAGAGGGTTGAAATGCGGCCTGGCCTATAATTCTTTCCATATTATAGAAACTCAAACATGAGAGATAGTTTATTGTTCAATTTAAATTTGTACTTCGTGAATGCCTTGCAGCATACTTAACAAGTTTATGACTTTGAGGTGCGACTTACTTAGTCCATTACATACTAGACTAACATCAACTCATCTATCATATCACAATCACAATCAAACACAAAAGCCATAAGTCCACTAAGCAATATATATTCATATTCATATACTATATAAGCCCTGAGTAAAGTAACCACCTTCCCATCCGCTCAAAGATATCCAAACCAAGGGAATAAAAGCAATCGAATCGAGTCAGCAAGCAAGTTCTGTATTCCTATGCTTTTTCTCTGACTATTCAGAAATCCAAAATAAACGAGTGACCATGCAGATACTCAATATGTACTGCTCGCTCGCGAAATAACTCGGAAGGAGGTAAAGCAAGAATAAAATAAACAAATAGATGAATGAATGAACAATTGATAATAGATAATAAAAATTATGTGCAGTGGTATGAATGAAGGTACTCTGCGTTTCTCATGACATCCGTGATAGTATTGAGTGGTGTGTTGTAATAAGCGAGAGGGGGTTGAAAGATGTGAAAAGGCATCCTCATGAACGAACAATTAATGCGATTAATGATTCGGAACTGTACAGGGCAATAGAGATCTCTCAAATTCCAGAATCATCCTCAGCAAACAACTGAGTAGGAGTATAAGCATTCCAGTTTGCACAAGTATCCTCAAAAATAGCAGTGTCGCTCATACCGACCGCAATCGAGCTTTGAGACTCCACAAATTGCATTGCCAATCCCTCAGATGCGTGCCATGCGATATGGCAATGAAGGAGCCAGGAACCAGGGTTGTCAAGCTTGAATGCAATGGCAAGATAACCGTTTCCGGGAAGTGCCGCAACGTCACGACGTGGAGGATTGACGAGGTTGAACTCGGCTGGCGACGTGTCGGGATCGAACACATCAGCTTCTTGAGCTACGATATAGAAATCGTGGCCGTGGAGATGAATAGGATGCCAAATGCCGAAGCCGGTGAGATCTTCGATGACATAGACGACCCACTCTTCGTTGGCGCTGGTTTGCTCGAGAGGAACAACGTTGTAATCAGTTGGGAAGATTGTCTCGTTGTTGAAAATCTTGAGAGTTGTTGGGGAGCTCCAGTCGAGGAGTAAGCTACTTGAATTGATGGTCCATGTGAAGTAGTTGGTGAATGCGAAGGACAACTGTTCGTCGACGAGAGAGTATCCACCAACGTCCAATGCTAAGTGTGGAACAAGGCTGGCAACTGGCTCATCCTCACAAGTGCCGCGGGGCGTGGTTCCAACGGAGGTAGGATCTGCGGTGCTGGAGCTATCGTATCGGAGGATACCTGTAGCATTTGCTGCTTCATTGTTGGCTGAGCAGGCGGTTCCCCAATTTCCTCTAATCCAGTAGTTGTCTGCTGCCGCATTGGCTTCAACAATAACATCGTATCTTTGACCAATACCGATGAGAAGAGTATCAGTAGTGTAGGGTACAATTGGAACAAGATCATTGGCAATGACAGTAAGTGTGTGTCCATCAATGGCGAATTCGAAGTGACTGTCAATTCCAACATTGATCAATCTCAATCTATATTTGGTCCCTTCGACGAAAGTCAACTCGAATTTCTTACCACCACCAACGCAGTTAGGATCAGTAGAAGCTGAGCAATCGAAGATGTTGGTTCCGTTCATCAAATTGTTTTCAAGTGCTGGAGGGCCGCCGAGTTTAGCGGAATCCCAAATTTCGAAAACGGATTCATGTGCCCAATCTTGGAGGAAAATTGCACCGACGTCTTCATCATAGTCCGCAGTAGCAGGACCGTTGATAATCAAGGGACCGAAGAGTCCATCACCGTATTGAAGAGAGAAGTGAGAGTGATACCAAGTGGTTCCATATTGGGTAACTTGGAACTTGTAGGTCAAGGTATCTCCAGGAGCGATAGGACATTGAGTTACCCCTGGATTTGATGTTAGTTATTTTTCGATAGAAGACAGGGAACAGTTGTGGAAACAGAGAGGAGGGAATATGGGATAATGTGGGAGAGAAAGGGGGCATGTTCTTGTGATCGCATGATCACGATCTATTAAAGACATACCGGGTACACCGTCGTATTCGAGACTCCCTAGTTGACGAATTCCATGCCAGTGAATAGATGTACCATTGTATTCAAGATTGTTGGTAACGTCTGTAATAAAGGTAGTTAGTAAGGATAATCAAAGCTTAGAAAAAAATGATTTTCGAGGACCTCAAGTTGTGAGGAAAAAGAGGTTCTCTAAGTAACTGGAGACTTACGGATTACAAGATTGTCACCCCAGTCTGCTATGATTGCAGGTCCTGGAACAGTTCCATTGAAGGTCATGGCTGAGCGAGTATAACCATCAGGTGCAATAGTAGAGTTTTCAACTGAAAGCCAGTATTCTGTATATCATGTCAGTGATAGACTAATGAATCGGAATTTGATATCACATACCTCTGGTGACTCCGGTAGGAGTAACATCATACCAGTTGGTATCGATGGAATACTCTCCCCAGCAAGATCTGGAAGTAGCTGAGTTTGCACAAGAGGCAGTAGTGTTTTGACGAGGAGTGAGTGGTGAACGAACAGCTGGAATAGCTGATGCAGATGCCTGTGCAAAGAATGCAGTGAGGGCAGTAAAGAGTGTAGAATACTTCATTATTATGAATTAGACAAAAAGCGACTGAAAAGATTGTGTTCTCCAGATAAGGAGTCGCGAAGAAGAGACTGTGGTGAGGATGAGATGAGGAGTGAAAAGAGGAATTCCATGGCGAAATATCTTGACTTTATAGAAAAGTGAAGCTCTTGAAATTGGACCGTCCCGTCAGCTTCGTGTCCACCTCTGAGCTTAGGTTCGAGCTGTTGACGGCAACATAATGAAGTCCGGTATTGTCCTGTGATGGCTCGAGTAGCCTTGAATGCTTTGTCGCCGTGCTGGGTTGCATTGCATGGGATGTATACGTACTCTCTCAACCCCAACCATGTGCAGTGTGTCTGTAGACTCTTTGCTTTTGTTGCCAATGACATCTCTTGGCTTACGAATGTGGTAAGTCAAATGCATGGTGAGAACCTCAAGATCCGTCTGAAATATGGAAGGGTTGAGGAAATGGACAGTGCTTCCCAACGTGGAGCTATGCTAGCGCCATCAAAGGTACATTAATAGATTACTTCAGGGGGAAGACAGCAGTTCGTGCCGAAAACCGTGGAGACATATTCAAAGATCATCTGCTGTTGAAACAATTAACATTCGTCAATCCTTTTGGCTGGAAGGATTACCACATCCGAGCGTATTCGATGATCTGCCTTCATCTCGGTCTTTCGGGGCCTGACAGAAAGTTCGTTGCTTGAGGTAGTGAGCATAACAACTCGGAGAATTATTTCTCACATTGTGGTTATAAACTGCAAGGATTCACGGGGTGGTCAAGCCACTCTTTCCTCATCGGTAAGTCCTCACACGTCAGTCACAATCGATAACTTACACGGCGCAACTATTGCTTACTGGTGGCTGCAGGTACACAAATTATAGATTTGTGCTAAAAAAACCACAGTCTGTAAGCCTCCTGGTAATTCTCCTCAGCCCGCAGCGGAAGGCTTTCGCCCCCGGCTTGGGTTACATATTTCATAACCGTTGTCAAAATAGATAATAAAAGTAACTTTTTATAAAATTGGTTCCAGAATGATGAGTGAGTGTACTAATGAGTAGTAGGCACGATCTGTCGAGTTAGTAGAATTTCATACTCAATATGCCCACTCAAAGTTTCCTTTTCCTTGTACGTCGTAATCGTGCTGTTGCATATAAAATCTTTCGGGTACCTTACCGAATCTATAAGACGACGCCTTAAGGTTTAGGATTAAGCTTGTATGAACGTAGATTTCAGATTTGATTAGTTTCCGTTTGCTTGAGCCTCATCCGTATTGATCACTTCCTAAAACGCATTAAACTCTGAGGAAAAGGTAAAATTATATGATGATCTCCGGACACAGCACAGATGCAGTCCACGTACTACTCAAATATCCCCAGAAAAGTCGTAATCCAGTTGGAAAAGGCAAGCAAAAGGGTTTTGGGGACCGTCTGTGCACCTTTATCTGGCATGGGTTATGATTAGGGGACTTGATAGAGCTTACGACGCTTTTCAATATCAAATTTTTGATACCACCCCGCGAATAGTGTATTGTAGTATAGTATTGTAGTATTGTCGAGGGAACCCCCAGCACCGGTAGTTGACCGAGAAATACCAAGACATACCAGTACTTCCCATCTTCCTAATCAAGATTGTACCTACAGACATTGCACAGGTTGTAGTTAAAGAGCCGGACCGGAACTTTCAAAGTGAAGGAAATGTCCGGAATTTTTTAAGGTAAAGAAAATAACCAGCAACATACATCATGCAAGAATTTGGGTCGATTGCGTTTAGTAGTTCGATTAATTCCATTAGTTCGTGAATATTAATTTGTAATTTTTTACAACATATCATTATCTTCAAGTTTCGGGACCGTAAGAGAATGTCAAGAATATAAAGAATGAAGAAAACGGTGTTGTATTGCGAATAAGCGTTGATAAAGCTAAGAGTTCGGTTTTTGATAGGGCAAGACGAAACATCCTCAGGAACTACTGAGCCACATGATTGATGGAGCTTACGGAGTAAACAAGCAATGATCGTGTATCCACAATTCATCGGAACCTTACTTCCTGATGGTGGAGCCATTACTACGACTAACTCCTCCTTTTTGCCGAAGGGTTTGTGAAAAGTAGACCCCCGAGCCTCCCTCCCCCTCTCCCCCACTCTGTATGGAACTACCTTAACAATACTAAAGAAGCAACAAAGAACAGCATCTAATATATTATCAAAACTTTGATTCCTTCCATGGTAGTTTGAATTGCCATCTCGTATTTCGCGAGAGATTTCTTCAAGTACATATCACAAAGACTTTGTGACAAACTGTACCGTACGTAGATAACACTTTATTACGCGCTGAAAAATTCGGGACTCGGAATTCGATGAGCTGAACTAAGAATGATGTCGGCTCTCAAAGGAGGTAATGATGAACAAAACAAAAAGGAAAGTTGTACAAAGTACGTCGTAAACAAGGGAATGCAGGGTATTCCACATGGTCACAGGGAATCTAATCCAGATAAGATCTCATTCAGATGAACCAGTCACGATGGTAACGCGGTTCGGCTTAAATCCGAGATTGGGTTTCAACTTGCGCGCTTGTCCTAATAATCCTTGCGGATATAAGCATTGCAACCTAATTGTTCAGATGGGAACGGCTGTAAAAACGTGAAGGCGCTGTCAGCTCTTACGGTGACTATTGATCTCGCTAACCTTTCTGTCCAGAGGTAACAAGGTAGGTTTAGAGTCACTTTAGCATATTCCTTCAATTTGAGCCTGTCATTCTGAACCCTGAACACCACGAAGTTTTGTGATATCTTGCTTACATACGAAGGATAGAAGTAGACCACGGGAACAGAGTGCTGCCGTTGCTCGTGTCAGCATTGCCTTTGATAATATTGGAAAGACTTTGAAAGGGCCCAAGACTGCAGTATGGATCGATTTTCTTACGACAAAATTTGAAGCAAGGTTGTCTCGTGTTGCCCCTGTATCTGTCAATATATTCGCAAAACATTATGAGGATTTGTGTCCATGACAGCAATAGCGCGAACTTCGTCTTGTTGCCCCTGATAGGAACACAATACGCGATGGAGTCGTTCTCATCTCGAAAACTCGCATGGTCCTAAATCGTGAACGGAAAAATTGTGTCCGGCGAGTAAATAATGAAAAGGCCACAATTAAAATTTCATTTAGAGAGAAAAAACTTGGTATGCTTCAGATCCACACACACACACGATAAAAGATTTTGAAATATTTGAAGGTGGAGAGATATAAATATGCCAAGATTTGAATTGGGCAGCCAAGGAAGCCTCGGAGCATCCGTAGAATCATTTTATATCTCCTATCTTGGTCGAATGTTTGCGCAAACAAACATGAAGAACATGTGAAACAACTCGAATTTTGCCGTTTGGCTCAATTCCAATTTCTATCAATGGATAATTAGCATCTTTGGCGAGTAGCATGTTCAAAGACAACTGCGACAAAGCGTTGAAAGAGCTTGGAAGACAAATTAATGAACAATGTGATTGAAAGTATGCATCTAGAAACATACACTAACTTTGTTTGCTTCGCTCACAACCGAATTTTGAACAAAGAAACCGAAATGCATAACAAGGTAGCAGAAATGAGGGGATCTGAATAATGCCCAACCATAGACTGTTTTCAGATCACATCGTACCCATGATGCATCAACCCCTCCTTGGTGCATTCTCGATTCTTTCCATATCGGTAGACGAGGCATGCAGAGTCGCCGCGACCATATGGCTACTACCTATGTTATCTGCGGATATTTCTTTCTTTGTCACAATCTTTGGTAGATATGTCGATGGAGAAGGACCTCGACTTGTAATCTTTTGAACCTCGCAACAGTAAGTTGATACCACCAAACTCCACGCTAAACAAGCAAGCAAATAACCATATCCCAAACTCTCACAGGTAGTCCTTCTTCTTGGAAGTTCTCGTATATTGGTTCATCCTCCATTCAACATCACCATCCTTATTCTCCAAAGTTCCTCCTCTAATCTCAAAACATCTCATCGTCATGCGAGGTCCAACTTCTGCGAGTTCCACATTTTGATATCCCGTCTTAACGAACACATGGTGTCGAACTTCAATACTATCTTCAATGTTCTTGAATGTGACAACTCTGCTTCCGATTTTCGTTTTGTTCGTAATCGCTTCTCTTGGTGGAAAGATGTGTTTCAAGATTTTGACGATTCGAAGACCCAATCTTGATGTAAAGCCTTCAAAGATTAGATGGGGATAAGACTCGCTGACCGTACCACGGGAGCTATTAGGGATGTCATGGCGCAACACAACATTGTGTAGAGAGAATGATATCGTGGGCCCATGCGGAAAGTGGGATAGTGTCAAGGCCGTCGGTGTACCACGATGTTCATGGAGGAGGATGATATCGGAAAGTCCAGATGCTTGGGCGGATGTAATTAGACTTGGTAAAATGAGATTTCCTCGATTTAGACGGATTGAAGTTGGTATCAATAATCTGATCTCTTTCGCAAAGGCAGAAAGTCTTGATGAAGGATCTCTTGAAGTTGTGATCAGTACTCTGGGATCAACGATTCCAGAAAGTTGAGCATATTCATCATCCAAGTCAAGTTCTTCATTTGCCGTCAAATCTGGTCGTGATTCATCATATTTATAATCTTCTCGTAGTTTTTTATCATTCGCAATCGATGGATCTAAAGGTTTGCCTGATGCTAAAGAAGCTCGAAGCTTTGCGCGCTTTTCACTGATCTCAGCATCTCGAAGTGTCAAGGCTCTTCGATAGAGGTAATCTCGTCGTTGTCGAGCTTGTTTGCGCTATAGAACACAACATGTATTAGTCAATTGGATTTTGGAACAACATTGCAGGGAAATATATGATGATTGATATGAATACAACTTACAATCATTTTCACAATGGGTTTCCAGCTTAAAGAGAATTTGTGTTTTGAGGGGGGTAGTTTGAAGCTTTTTTGTGAGGTAGTCAAGCAGAAAAAAAAAGTTTCTATCACAAACCTTTATCGGCTGGTATCGGTATCAGTATCAGCACGCTAAGCACCCAAATAGCAATGTCACTTATTAGTAAATGTGAAATCCCACAATCAAAAAAGCAACTGTGCATCTCTTCTCGAGTACTCCACCAACCCGACCAACATTGGTAAAATACCTTCTGGGCTCCTCAATATTATACAAGAGATATCAAACTTCTGCAGGACAAGTTGTGAATTACAGTCAAAGTTACGATAATGACTTGAAAGTCTTGTCCGGCTTTCAAGAATATCTCCAAAACCTTTGCGCCGCCCTCCCGCCACAAAGGCTACCTCTACAAACATAAGGAATTTATCCAATCTATTGTTAGTATTAATTTCTTATTATATTATAGCGGGATCTTCAATGGTTGATCCTGATGTCTTCTGCTATTCCCCTGAACTCCAGCTAGTTCTAACCTTTACTATTTTGTGTAGTATCTTGACATACTGTCATCATGGAAAGCGCTTTCGCCCACGTTGGGAACCACCTCATATCCGATTCTGCTGCAGCAATCAACGCCGGTGCTGATGATCTCTCAAACATTGATCCGGATGAAAGCTTGTTATATGGTCAATACGGAGGCCATGGTGGTTTAGGATCCAGCAGACGAAGAAGCGATGATGATGACAACGAGACTGAAGTATTCGATGACGATGATACCGAGAGTCTTGCAAGTGTTCCAGTCGATGGTATGAAAACTCTTGGGCTTCGAGGTCTTGAGGATGAGAAGGAACTACCAGCACACGCATGCGCGTAAGTTGAACTATCAACGATCTAAATTGTCCTGAGCCGGGCTGATTTGATGTGTAGATATTGTGGAATTCACTCTCCAAGCTGTGTGGTTAAGTGCTTAGGATGCAACAAATGGTTCTGCAGTGCCCGTGGAAACGCTACATCTTCGCATATTGTCAATCACCTTGTTCGCGCCAGACATAAGGAAGTTCAATTGCACCCAATGTCGACCCTCGGAGATACTGTACTGGAATGCTACAACTGCGGTATAAAAAATGTTTTTCTCCTCGGCTTCATTCCTGCGAAATCGGATACAGTCGTGGTTCTTCTATGCCGTCAACCTTGCGCCTCTGCTCCATCTTCGAAGGATATGAGTTGGGATGTGTCCAAATGGCAACCGTTGATTGAGGATCGATCCTTTTTGTCTTGGCTTGTCTCTCTTCCTACGGACGCAGAACAGCTTCGCGCCCGACATCTCACGCCGCCAATGATTGCGAAGTTGGAGGAAATGTGGAAGGATAATGTTAACGCTACTCTTTCCGATTTGGAAAAGGCTGCTGGAATTGATGATGATCCAGCCCCTGTCCTTCTTAAATACGATGATGCCTATCAATATCAAAATGTCTTCGGACCTTTAGTCAAGATCGAGGCAGATTACGACCGCAAGCTTAAGGAAGCCCAATCTGAAGATGGTTTAATCATTCGTTGGGATTATGGTTTGAATAACAAGCATTTGGCCAGTTTCATTCTTCCAAAGATAGAGCTTGGCGATGTAAAGCTCGCTGTAGGCGATGAGATGCGACTCAAGTACAAAGGCGAGCTACGACCTGTATGGGAGGGTGTTGGATATGTGGTCAAAATTCCGAACAATCAATCTGATGAAGTTACCATTGAACTCCGAAAAGTTGGCAACGATAAATCAGTCCCAACAGAATGCACTCATAACTTTTCTGCCGATTATGTCTGGAAAGCAACATCTTACGATCGCATGCAGTTTGCCATGAAGACTTTCGCTGTAGACGAAATGAGTGTGTCAGGATACATTTTCCACAAACTTCTCGGTCACGAGGTGGCCGCAGCTCCAATGAAAATTCAAATGCCCAAGAAATTCAGCGTTCCTGGTCTACCAGAATTGAATAGCAGTCAAATCAGCGCCGTCAAGAGCGTATTACAAAAGCCCTTGAGTCTTATTCAAGGACCTCCGGGAACTGGAAAGACAGTCACATCCGCTACAGTCATTTATCATTTGGCTAAGGTAAATGGTGGCCAAGTTCTTGTATGTGCTCCTTCTAACGTTGCCGTCGATCAACTTTGTGAGCGTATACATCGAACTCAACTCAAAGTTGTTCGTCTTACAGCCAAATCCCGTGAAGACGTCGAGTCATCTGTTGGTTTCCTCTCTTTGCATGAGCAGGTCCGCATGAATGATAGCAATCACGAATTAGCCAAACTTACTCAGTTGAAGAGCGAGTTGGGAGAATTATCAAGTCAAGATGAGAAGAAGTTCAAGGCATTGACAAGAGCTGCCGAACGTGAGATTTTGAGCAACGCTGATGTTATTTGCTGTACTTGTGTTGGAGCCGGAGACCCAAGACTTGCCAAAATGAAATTTAGAACAGTGCTCATCGATGAGTCTACTCAATCCGCAGAACCAGAATGTATGATTCCACTCGTCCTGGGATGCAAACAAGTAGTTCTGGTTGGAGATCATCAACAATTGGGACCCGTTATCATGAACAAGAAGGCCGCAAAGGCAGGTCTAAACCAGTCACTCTTCGAGCGTTTAGTCCACCTCGGTCTCAATCCCATCCGACTTAACGTTCAATATCGTATGCACCCATGTCTTTCCGAATTCCCGTCTAACATGTTCTACGATGGTTCTCTACAAAACGGTGTCACAATGCAACAACGACTTCGTCGTGATGTTGATTTCCCTTGGCCTGTAGCCGATACACCCATGATGTTCTGGTCCAATCTTGGCAACGAGGAAATCTCTGCTTCGGGTACTTCTTATCTCAACAGAACTGAAGCCTCAAATGTTGAGAAGATTGTTACTCGATTCTTCAAAGCTGGAGTACAACCTGGAGATATTGGCGTCATCACTCCATATGAAGGCCAACGCAGTTATGTCGTGACATCTATGCAAAATGCTGGTTCTTTTAAGAAAGAGCACTATAAGGAGGTTGAGGTCGCTTCTGTGGATGCCTTCCAAGGACGAGAGAAAGATTTCATCATTCTTTCTTGTGTAAGATCTAACGATCATCAAGGTAT